GATGTCGGCCTGCGAGGCGAGGAATTTTCCGGCGAGGGCGGATTCCCATTCGGCGGTTACTTCGGCGATGCGTGGGGCCGATACGTCGCACACGGCGACGTTGCTGCCGGCGGCGAGGAAGGCCAGGGCTATGGCTTTGCCGAGGCCGCCGGCGCCGCCGGTTACGATGACGGTGAAGTTGTCGAGTGATGCTGCCATTGCGAAGGAAGGGGGGGAAAAGGATAAAGGGGCAAAAATGACACCAAGAGGGTTTATCGTAGTAAAATCAAAATACCGATAGTTCAGAGAAGAGAGGAAATCCGTTATCCAAGCGAGGGGAAAAGGCTCTGATGTTGCGGACGCAGATGCGTCTTATGTATTTTCCTTCCTTGGTGTGTCCGGCTCAGATCATGATGCGCCCTCATTTTCCTTGTTCGCCACTTATTCTTCTCACCAACCATCTCATGAGAACCTTGGCCTCGACCCCTCACCAGTCAGCACTACTGTCGTCTCGGCATCTTGACGACCCCTCATGCCTCATGCGACGTAGTTTAATACGCGGAACGCGTAGATGCTGGTTCGCTAGACAGGATGAGCAAGGGTTCAATTCGGGTTCGTCGTCGTAGATTGCTCGACCAGCATCGCGGGGTAAAATACGAGTACGAACCCGGAGACGATGGCGACCCCGCAATTTCATGAAGAGATCTTGGGCCAGGGATGGACTTATTTTGGACGGCTAATTCTGCACTAGATCGATTGGGTAGCCTCGAATCGTTCGTTCAGTACACTACGTCATGGAAGAAATCGCCATGATAAATAAACAAAACGAAGCCGTGTGCCAGGTTCATAAGAATGAACAATGGCGATTGCAGCGGAGGGCTACCGTTGACATCGAAATTTGCCTTCATGGAAAAGGCGGCCGCGGATCTGGGGGAATCGGTCTCGTCCCGTTTGATTCATGCTCCCTCGCGTCGGATTGCGTTTCCTCGGGTTGCGTGAAGCTCAATCACCTTCCCCTCCTCCGGAATCTATAGAAATGCCACTGTCTGCGCCTCTTTCCCCGGGATTTGAAACCCTCGGCCAAGTCATCAATCCTTCATGTCATATCACTACCACCTTGACAAGCCAGGATTATAAAGTGCGACCCCGTCTTCCCTTGACTGGAAATTGAGTGGCTTTGTGCCACGAATAAGAACAAATGTTGCTGTTGCCTGCAATGCTCTTGTCGCTTTTCTGCGCCTGATGCGGGCAGTTTCCATCGACACTTAGTACCATTGCAGACGCACCGCTCCATCCGTGGGCAGATGCCTTTGCTGCCCATCTATAGAAAGCGGGAATTCAGAGCCAGTGCTTGAGACCTGGTTATTGTCAGCTTGTTATGGACTTATAGAGTCGTCTGGTTCTTCCAGCCGGCCGGATCAAGTTCTCGGCATTGAAAGGCACAATTTGAAGGCGATAAAACCAAAATAAAACGTTGCGGAGTACTACGGATATTTACTGTATTTGATTGTGCTTTAAATGACCATGATAGTATCCCTGCCCCTGATACTGGGCAGAATACCAATCTCTCCAACTCTCCCTTAGTCTTCATTCTATCCTGAGCAAACGAAAGTCTCCTTGGACGTTGTGTGTGAGGAGCTCAAGACGAAAGGCCACCTGAAGAAGCGTCACCAACACTCTGGACAGCGGAGATGACCATAAAGATAACATTGTTTGGCGGTATACGTATGTACCAAACTACAGATTCATATTAACACGACGAACTTTATTTTTTTTTCCGCCATCATACACATCCCAAAGGCCAAAAGCCAAAACACCATCATCCAAGAGTAGAAACAGCCAAAAAAGACCACGCGTCCGCAACGCCGCTGATGCCATTAATCACCTTCCTTCAAAGAGTGTCCGACGACGCGAAGGAATGAAACAAGGGCCCTGCAGCCACCGAAGCCGTCGGCTTATTCGGCGCCCACATGACTGTGGCCGAAGCAAGAACCCCGAACACGAGACAGACGACGACTCGAGCGCCCCTCTCTACCTAGAACTTGTCCTATTTGCTCTGGGTCCGAGGGGGCAGGCGCGCTAACTTTAACAGGTCAGCCGCCGAGACGGTGCGGGAGAGCCACGCCACGCCCATGGCCATAGCCACGGCATCATCAATATGCCAGGCGATGCCAGGCTTCTTGCTCTTGGGGGAGAAGGCGAGAACCACTACGGACAGGGCGTGCGACGAGTTCGCGAGCTGGCCATATTAAGAGAGGCGCTCTCGCCGCTCTTTCTCCTTTTGGGGACCTCCTTGCCGTTTCGTGCCCTTCCCTCTTGCCCTTCCTCCTGCTCTTGGCGCTGGTCCGCTGGTTTTCCAAGAAGGTGGGGTCCTGGAGTTTCGCTCTCTCTTTCTGTTTCCGGGCCTACTCCTCGCTGTAGAGGTTTGATGGCCCCTTAATGGCCTCTAGGATGCTCTGCAGTTGCTGGTGGTGCTGCTGTCCTTGCTGTCGTTGTAATTTGTTGGTGGTAGGCCAGCCTCTCCCTTCCCACCTCCTCGCTGTACAGCCTCGTCGAGCCCTATATGGGTTCCAGGATGGCCTGCAGTTGCTGGTGCTGATGCAGTTGGTACTGTCGTTGCTGTTGTAGTTGTTGGTGGTGGGCCTACCTCTCCCTCTCCATATCCTACCGTATAGCCTTGCCGATCTCTTGATCGCATTGAGGATGGCTTGGAGATACCGCGCCGCGGTCGGCTGCCGCTGCTGCCACTAGTCTTGCTTCCGCTTCCCCTCCCGATAGTGCTTTAGTTCCCCCGGAACCAGCTCTAGGGAATTCGCTATCGCTCCAGAAAGGGCGGCCTGTCGCTGGGGATGGGGACCTGGGTGGCTGATCCTGGCTGCGGTCGGGAGATGCCTCTGAGGGGGGGAAGTAATGCGCCATGGGCCATGGATTCCCTGATTGATTCCTTCTCTTTTGAGCGTCGTGGTTCCATGGTAGATGAGTGATTCATGGATGAATGTGGAAGGCCGAGATAGCGAGTGAGAGCCACATGACCCCGGTAGCCATGGCATATCCTACATGCCATGTAGCCCTGGAATCCTTGTTCTGCTTGGTAAATGAGAAGTCGCGGACCGCCACGCACATGGCGAGGGCCGAGTTCGCGAGCTGGCCGTAGTGAGCCACGGATGGATAAATAGGACGTATTCCTTGTTGAGCGGGGAGCATGGGTGGCCGTCTGTCTTGACCTGTGGATTTGTGCCAGCAGTCGGCTGTTACAACGCAGCCGATGCTAAAAAATGAAAGAACTTCCGACACGGCCGTCGTGCGGTGTCCGGCAGACTAGAACTGCGGCCACGGGATGCCTTCTCCATGCTTCGCCGATAGCTGGAGGAGTTCCACATTCGGTTGTTGAAGGCCGTTAAGGAATGGGGCATTTGCAAGGGATATGCCCGCAGAGGTGGAGGCTGATCGACCGAGTGGTGCCCGAAACAGCCGTGGTGAAAACATTCTCTCAGCACGTTGCCCAGAATTTATCCGTGATGTTAAAGTCCATCCTAGAGTTCCCAGAGATGTGGTCCAGGCTTAGCTTACACCAGATTCTCGCCGCTCCTAAACGTGGACCTCGTGTATGTATGCAATCAAGTTAAACCGGGAAGCGAAGACCGACATTTCGAGCGGGAAGAGGCGAGAGAGACACAAGCGGTATTCAAACGAGAGAGACCGAAGCAAGGCACCGAAAATAATAAACGACGTGCTTATACGAAGTTTCGGCGGGTGGACGGGGAAGATTGGAAACACCAAGCAACTAAAATCGAGATTGATTAGTACTTCTTCCTCTTCTTTTCTTCGTTTTGATGTTAGTCGAATACAGAGAACACTTGTATCACGGTTGGAGAGAAATGCACTCCCCTGAACAGAGGATAATAATAAACTTCAAGCGAGTAGGAAGAGCACAAAGGGTAGCAACGTTGCACGAGGAAATCTCGTCCTGAATCCGTGTTTCTGGAGGGAGAATGTAATCTAGGTTATGATGTAGTACCGCCGATCACCGCGGGAGATTGCATCGCCATGCACCGGGTTTAGGGAGTGACGAGTGACCACCCACTTGAGGTTAGGCGATATTATGAGTGGCTTAAGCGAGGCTGATGTGCGGATATCCATACCTCGTAATTGATCTATCCTCACGCTCTTCGTCCTCTGCACCGGGGAAGCCGGTCATCTAGAAGGATGCTCTTTTCGAGGCTGTCTCAAGCCGTGGCCTTTCGTGGTGCCGCCGGCCTCTTCCCTAACTGTTGATCGGCCCGGTTAGCGGCGAGCATAAGCCCGTTTTATGACGTTGTCTTCGGGACTCACCTGCTTCATATGCAAGGGCGGTGCACTGGGCTCCATTGGATGATCCAGCGATCCACTGATCGGCTCCCGTATTGCCTCGACGAGAAATGCTACTGCAAATCAGCGAATCGCAGGAGGAGGATTCGTTTCCATCTCTCAGTTGGAACTTGGGAGGTTACAATTAATTGAGGGGAGGGAGGCTGTGAGTGCGACTATGAGTGTGACTGTGAGCTCGGGTGGTTGAGGTTGGGATCGGGAATTTTTATTACTTGTCGGACGATCCTTCCATGACAGAGAGGATTGACCATCTCCAGCAGGAACGACCAAGGAACAAGGAAGGAGACATGCGGCCGCCGATAAATACGACCTCGTCTCGTGTCTCTCCTTCTATTGCTCCTGGCCTTGACTTCTACTTTGTATATATTTCTTGAACATTCCACTTCCCAGACTAGCTTCCCTCAGAACAATCCGACAAGAACTATCTTTTGCTCCCAGACCCTCGATCCTTTGCCGAGCCCTCACACACGATCAGATCAGATCAGCCGGATCACCACCAACGACGACGCGACACTCGCAGCTTTGCTCCAGATAGATTAGGCGCACGACTTCCCGCTCCAAACAACGGCAACAAACCCCCCAACCCCGTGCTTAGCCTCTTCCTCTAACACCACCGCACCTGTAAATCTCAAACCCACACAGCCGCAACAACAATGAAGGCCACGATCCTCGCTCCCTTCCTCCTCGCCACGTCGACCCTCGCCCTCCCAGCTCCAAAAGAAACTACCGAACCCGCTCTCACCTGCTTCCAGCGCTCCACCCAATTCAAATCCTGGGACCTCACCTCCTTCACCTACTCCCCCCCCACCGCCGCAACCCCCACCAACTCGTCCGCTCCTTCCCGAGCCTCCGTTTCCTTCACGGTGATCAACTCCGTCATCGATCCCCAGGTCAAGTGCGTCGCCGAGAGCGACAAGGCGTTCGACGGCGCGGAAAAGTTCAAGTGCGACGGCCCTCCCGTGGATGATCCGGCTACGTATCAGGGGGGTGCGGTGGAGTTTTCGTTTGATGCGGCGAGTGGGAATGTCACACTGATGCAGAGGTGGATTTGCCATGATGATCCTGTCTGGCCGTAAGTTTTATTTTACTATTATTTTCTATTTTCTCCTCCGCCCGTTCTAAGTTTTATTATTTTACTATTATTTTCTATTTTCTCCTCCGCCCGTTCTCTCGTGTAGGAACTAACGGATGGGTTAGGTCTTATTTGACCGGTGTTGGATCTGGCATTGCGGATCTCTCGTGCCTTGGAGAGGGTGTCGTTTCAGGTGAGAGCGTGGAGGATACGAGCGAGAGCCCTGGCTGTGCTGGGTTGACGGTGACGGTCAACCTCACCGAGATCTCGGCCATTGCTTGAGCACATTTGCTCTTGTTCATAGATATTGGAAAGAAATAGGGAAGTTGGATATTTACAGACGAAGATTTGTCCTTACAGGAATATGCATGAATCTAGGAATGGAGATAGATAAGGCAGGCAAAGCATAGAAATATAATGAATCTAACCAATTAATAGATTAATGGTGAGTAGCTATCTAATGAAAAAACACTGGCGCCGCAACAAACTTGAAAAACGTATCCCAACCGTCACCCTTGATCAGTCTCAGTTTGACTTGGAGGCACGGCTCATGAAATTCTCCCGAACGCTTCCAGGCGTACGATCCCAGGTCGTGTAAGCCTTGTGGGGTGTATTCTCGGGACTCCAGACCTGCGATGCCCACACCAAGTTGTCGGGTGCATCGTACATACCAAAATCGCGCCAGCTGTCAAAAGTAATCTGTGGCTGTCCTCGGTGCGGCCCAGACGAGGATACCCGAACCGAAAAGTCGGTGAAACAATGGTCACAGTGACCATCAAACGAGGTCCCTACATCCTCGAAAGCTTGGGAAACAGCCATCTCGAGGCCAGCGGAAAAGGAACTCCAGGTTCCGACCAGGGTGGGTGTCACCCGGTCCACATCCGTCCGAAAGAGCTCGAGGTGAGGGCAGAGCTCGAATCTCAGGCGGCCGACGGTCGTGCGGGACAGCGTATCGAATCGTTTCTGCGCCCAGATGGCCCACCTCGAGTGGAGCAGGAATCTGCCGCCGACGATTCTGGGCTCTGCCGAGAAGGAGCCTCCGCTGGAGATGATGGGCCCATAGGGCGCTAGGAGTTCTTTGAGGCGAGAGGCGGAGGTGGCGACGGGACGGGAGTGATGCTTGAGGGCCATCTGGACATCCCGGTGTCGGAGTTCGTAGGTATCGGAGGAGTAGCGTGGCGCCCAGAGCCTCACGGTCTCGTATGAGTCGCAGCTGCGGAAAAGTGGTAGGACTCGCAGCATGTTGCGAGGGCGTGTGGCGCGTAGTCTGCAGCAGCAGGCGCAGACCCAGCAGTCCGGCTTGGTGTATGCGACCCGTGTCCAGAAGTTGAACTCTTCGGGCTGGGACAGGCCCTGGAGGACCTGTTCCCAGTTCTGCGAGGCAAGCGTCCTCAGCACGTGGCAGGTCTGCGAAAGGAGGAACTTGTCGTGTAAGTCGAGGTTATCCAAGATGGCACCGATAACATCGTGTGGCAGTTGAGGGAAGGCGCTGGTTTGTTGAATGTGGCTTCCTCCCTTGGGAGATGGCTCTGGCTGTTTAAGAAATAGGGGAGCCATGATCGATCCCAGTATCCTAGATTTATCCATATCGCAAGTATCTTTGTGTGAAAGTAGACCGGCAATGTAGGAGAGGACGAGAGGATGGGGAGTGGGAACTGGGAACTTCAGGACGAGTTGAGGAGCGAGAGAAGGAAGAGCCACGACAACTTACTTCAATTTCAGTCTCTACGCCTTCTTATAGATGAGTTCATGTATCACATGGAAGGGGGTAAGACCCTTTAGAGCCTCGAAAGAAGGAGACTAAAACTTAGGAAAGAAATAGGTTTGAAGTTTGAATGTTAGTTCCATCTCTTTAGATCTAGATATCAGCTCTAGTGTCTCTTCTAGGGCGATGGGAAAGAGGTATGAGACTTCGAACATTAGGCACCAATGATGGATGGATGAGCCTAGAAGAATCGCAGGGAAGGAATACTGGTAGAGAAGAGAAAGCTCTGTAAGATCACCAGCACATGTCGAGGCCCTCACTGAATCGTGCTTCCTATCTCCTAGCTTGGAAGTAGCTTAATGACCGCCAGGGCGTGACACATGAAGAGATGGCAGTGCTACCCTTTCCTAAGTCTCTGTCTTGAAGCTGTCCCAGTCGAGTGCCTGGCCGTAGCGGCTGTTTATCAATAGCGATACAGTCTCGTCGAAAGAAGCCACAGTGCGTTGCTAAACATATAAGACACGCCCCCCCCCCCCGGTGTTAGATGGACTCGTCTCCTTTGATTCCTTTGCCCTATTCCAGAGCGAGACAACCATCACAGCGTCAGTTTGATTCTCCTGCCTCCTGTCATGATGACCCCAACTAATCCGTCCTCGAAGGAACAAACACAAGATAGAAACAAGAGACGACGAAACGACACCAACGGAACTTAGGGGAGGGGAAATAAAAGAAACAACATCAAAATGTCCAGCGTCGCCGAGTGGATCACCGCCATTTCCACCACCCTCATCGCCATCGTAGCCCTCATAGCAGCCAATGGCGAATACCGCGTCCCGCCCGACGGACGGTTCCCCGGCCGAATCAACCCTCGACACGATTCGGCCCGGGAATTGGAAGCCCAACGAGTCGAACGCCACGAAAGAGTCTTGGATCTGAAGAAGAGGCTGTCCGAGCTTCGTGACAAACTTGATGCTGTGCGCTGATGTCCTTAGGACGCCTTTAACTGCATCAAACTAATCCATGCACACAGAAACGGAAACATAATCAAGTATGTGCAACACTGCCAATGCCCCCGGGCCCCTCTCCGGGCCCCTCTCCTGCTGGTCCTCCTCCTACCGTGGGCACTCGCCCCCCGACTGCATCACTGCGATATCGACCTCCGTCACTCTGAACGGGACATATCGAGTCCTTCCCGACAGCTGCCCCCCAACGACGAGATAACACTCAGCCCGCCAAGGAGACGACTTCTCGAACCGATTGGTCCCAGAAACAGGAAAAAAACCGAACCAAACCCGGGAACGACACCCTGGCTGCGATGGATGAACTAAGCTGGGTGGGCGGGCCCCCGCTGCAAGCGGATCTGCCCTGGGGACGTCTTCCCCGGCCGGGCATCCGTGGCCGTGGTTTCGCGAAGCCGTTGTCTGAGGGGTATCGCGGATCTGTCGAGGAGTGGGATGAGGTGTGTAATGATGAGTGTAATGATGAGGGTAATGGAAAGTGTACCGAGGCGTGGAAGCCTGTTTCTACCGAAAACCTATTTCGCCAATTACTCAAAAGTCGTCTGTGCCCAAGATATGTGAGAATGTAATGGTGTTTTGAATATCATCTTCTCTCTGCGTCCTACTCCGCTAGGGAGGTCTATGACCCGCTGCTACTGATACAATAAGCCGACACTAGACATACACGCTGGGCCAGATGAACTCCCGGCAGTCCCCCAACACACACACACACACAAAATCCATTCGCTTCGTTTTTTATCCGCCCACAAGTCCCTGGAGGAGCTGTTATGTTGTACAAGTGCATGATGCCGCGATCCCAGGCATAACAAAGTGCCAAATTTCCGTGTGAGACAAACGAACTCTGTGGAAAAGTGAAGAGCGAAACGAAAGCAACAGGTCAAGAGGAGCCATGGCGAGGAGCGCTATCGTAACGGCAACAACAACATGAAGCCTTCACTTATTTCTTGCCTCCCTTCTTCCGGCTCGGTACAACCTTAAACCCAGCACCCGCAATAGCATCCGATCCTTGCTCTCTACCTGCCGCAGAAGAGGAGTAGCCCCCCTTCTTCGCCACCTCGCTCCACCCACCACTGCCGGCTCCGGACGAGGATGAGAAAGCTCCTCCGGCCCTGGCGTCTCCTGCTCCGAGAGAAGAGGGCTGCCTCTCGACAACGCCGCGCTCGGCAAGCTTCTTGCGGCGGATGAATTCGTCGGCGAAGTGCTGGCCGTTCATGGTGGTAGAGTTTGCGTAGACGGCGTCGGAGATCATTTCCGCGTCGGGGGGGAGGCAGAGGAGAGTCGCGGCAAAGTCGTCAACTGAAGAAGAGGGAGAACAGTTAGTATGTTCGGAAACTATGGACAAGAGAAAAGGAAATAAAAGGAAAAGTTAGAAAAAAAAATACTTACTGTTAGCGACGCCAGTGATGCCGCGGGACAACTCTCTGTGCACCCACTTCTTGAATTCATCCATGGCAAGGGTAGCATTATCCTTAGCAGCGCTACCCGAAGAAGCAGTGACGGGCTTAGCGACGGGCTTGGCCGCAGCTACCGGCTTCATGGCATTAACACTGGCGGACCGCGACTGCGTAGTAGCGGGGCCCGTCGGGACCTTAACCTTACCGCCGGCTCCGACGGTAGCCCACCCGCTGCCAGGAGGGCCGGCGAGGGCAGCGGCAGCTGCCGAAGCGCTGGGCGAAGAAGAAGGGTTCGGCTTGCTAGCCAGATCCGCATATCGCTTGCCGGCAGCGGCACCGCCGAGTCCGGCAGCGACGGCCGAGTTGATGGCGATCTCCTTGGCCTTCTGCTTACGAGCTTCCTCCTCTCGTTGGATTTCGGCCAAAGTCTTGCGCTTCTTCTCAGCTGCCGCGGATGTGGCGCTGCCAGCACCGACGGTCTTGATTCCGGAGGGCTTGGTCCAGGGGCTGGTGGCGTTCACGGGGGACTGCTGCGCCCAAGTACTACTGGTGGGAAGGCCGGGGATGACGGCGGATGCGGCCCTTTCCTTGTCGCGGAGCTCGGCTGCCTCCTGCTCGAGAGCGGCACGGCGCGCAGCCTGGGCAACCTGCTCGGCCTTGGCCGCCTTACGGGCCTCGGCCTCCTGGATCTCCTTCAGGCTGGGTCCCTTGTGGTGCTGGTTGTCGGAGCTCATTTCCTTGGCCCAAGGAGCCATCGGGGGCGGCTGAGCGGGCTGGGCAGGGGCAGTTTCGGGGCTCTCTTCGTGGAGGGGTTCGGGGGGAGGGAATGGCATGGGTAATCCAAAGGCAGCGGCGGCGGCGGCAGCAGACGCTGCCGCAGAAGGGACAGGTTGCGTCTTCTTGGGCTGTTCCCTCACAGGGGCAGGTCGGCTCTCCTCCGCGTGCTGCTTGGCCCTGGATCGGCTCGACTCCTTAACCGGAGCGGCGGCAGGTGATTCCTGGGCAATGATTTTCTCCGCTTCAGGCTCAGGCTCAGGCGTGACAGATTTGGCTGCAGCGGAGGCGGCAGCCTCCTCCCTCTCGCGTTGCAACAGCTCAAACTCCATTAGCCGCTCACGAAAGCCTTGAGAGTCCTGTGTCAACTGCTCGGTAGCGGGGAGCTGTCCGCGGAGGCTGGCACCGCCATCATCCTGCGATCCGGTGCGAGACTGCTGAAAAGGTCCGGGGGCAGTGGTGGGGCCGTGAAGAGAAGCCAGGACTTGTCGCTCGGGAGTCGAGAGGTTGGCTAGCTCCTCGTCGCGAAAAATCTCGGCGCCGGAACCAATGGCGCCCGGAGCAGCAGCAGAAGGACCGCCGGGGAGCGCGAGACTGGAATCAAAGAGTCCTCCAGGGCCACCAGGAGCTGCTGGAACCTGGCCGATAGCCCCTTGGGCGCCCGGAACGGTAATCGGGGAAGCAATGTTTCCGAAGCTCGGCTGGCTCTGGAGACTGTGCGCGCTCGAGTGGTGATGTAGCGCGCCCGGGATGGCGCTAGCGGCTCCGGGGATCTGGAACTTCGAGAGGGCTTGCTGGCGGAGCATGAACTCACGCTGTTGGGCCATGATGAACTGTTCCTCCTGCTTGCGGCGCTCAAGGTTGTTCTGTTCCTCGGCGGTAAGGGTTCTTCCATAGCTAGGGAAGACGCCGCTCAGAGGCGGGATCACGCCGGTAGTGCCAGAGGGCGAGAAGGGACCAGTTTGAGGTGGGGGCCCGTGGGGAATGCCAATCTGGGGAACGAGGAAGGGCTCACGCGAGTTTCCGATGCGTCGAATAAGCTGTCCAAGAGGCTCGAAGTCGGGGTCCTCGATCTTCTTGACGCGGAGATCCGGCGTGAAGAAATTAGCCTTGTACCAGTCGTTCATCTCCAGCCCTGTAAAGGGCCCCTGGACCTGGCCTTGAGGATCGAGATATACCCATCGCATACGGTCCGGCATCACCATCTGTCTCACTTGGGCTCCGGGTCCTTCTCCCGAGGTCTGCCCGCCTGCGAATGGTGCAGCGCTGGTAAGCGAGGGCTGAGCGTCAGCGGAGGTGAAGATGGCCCGCGACGACGCTGCAGTGAAGGCGTCATCAAAGATTCCCTGTCCTTGACGGGGTTGATTCTCTCCCTCCCTGCCGGGACCGGGAATGGCGCTTCGGCCAATGGCGCCAAGAGGGTTGTTCTGTCGCAGGTCGTGGTCACTCAGGGCATCGTGGTCTTGGTTCTGCATCTGAGCCTGCATGGTGGGAGGGAATAACGAGCCTAGCTTACTTCCACGACCGGGCCCGATGGAACCCGCGCCTCCAGCAGCACCGAAAACGCCGCCGAGGGCCCCAAGGCCAGCCGAGGACATGTCGCCCACAGGACTAAACAAGGCATTGCCAAAGGCGGAGCCGAAAGCAGAGCGCTCACGGTCGGGAGTGCCCGTGACAGCAGGGGGCGCGGGCCACCCGCCAAGAGAGCTCAGGCTAGTGTAACGATTTGGTCCAGCACTACTGGTTTGGCTTCTGTCGCTCCCATCGAAGGCATTCGCTGAGTATCCTCGGGAGGGAATTGTTCCGAATGCGTGAATCGGGTCGGCTCCACCCGAGCGAAGTCGGTCAAAGTCGGATTCTTCCTGATCCTCACCATCGCCCCGCTCAGCCGGAGGGCTACGGTAAGGGTTTGTGTTCGAGGGGCTCAGAGGCGCAGCAGTATCCTGGTCACCTAGTTGAAGTCCGGACAGGCCTAAATCCCCAATAGTTCCCTTCACTGTAGAGTCGAACGGGCCCTGCCCGCCACCCTGTTTGGATACGGGAGGAGTCTCGCCACGGGCAGAACCTAACAATCCGCTAGCGCTCATGCTATCGTCGCCGAAAGGGTCGGTGTCCGTTCGAGGTCGAGATCGCCACGATCGGTTGAGGTCAGGGTTCGCAGGTTCGTTTGCCTTGGCAGCGATATTCTCGGAGCTATCCTTGGGGATGAGGTGAGCAAGACGACTCTCGCCTCGAGCACTACTAAAAGGTTTCGAGGCAGAGGTTGGAAGGGCAAAGTTGCCAAAGCTTCCCATGCCAGATCCACCTGTCCCAGCTGGCGTCGGCTGGGGGTTTTGCCACAAGCTGCCTAGTCCGCCGGATCCCGCAGTGCTGCTACGCAACAGTGATCCAAATGACGGCTTTGGCTGGGGCGTGGTGGCGTCCTTGGGAGGATTATCGGCGTCCGGATCAGTCGCATCGCTCTCTTTAATGTCGGTCCCCTTCCTGTTAAACCACGGGAAATTCTCATCCCTCGTGTATCGGCCCATGCCGGCGGTCGGGGACGCGATGGAAGGAGAGAACGGACTCGGTTCGACGGATTCTCGTCGGCGAGTTCCCGGCCTTGCCGAGGTCGGCGACGTGACGTTGTAAGGATGTCCGCTGCCCTGAGATAGGGACGCCTTTCGGCCGTTGGGGCCGGCCGTCTGGTTGGCATCCTTGTTCTGCGGAGGGGGTTTCATCGGGGAGTTGACATCGGACTGGAACATCTGGCAAAAAAATTAGAATCAGTACCCAGAAAAAGGGTATAAAAAAAGACGAAGACAAGGATAACAACGAACGAACCTCCTTTTCCTCCAAGGACATCTCCTGCAGTCCGAGAGGCCTCATGTCGGCCGCCGAGTTCCAGCAGACATCAGGGTCCTGCACCGGCTGGGGCTCCTGCGGCTTCCCCCAGCCCCGTGATGAGTGGCCATTAAGCTGACCCGCTCCGGGATTCCATCCGTCCATGTATAGACGAGAAATGCTTCCCTGGGATGCCGTACCAACTCCATCTCTATAGAGCCCGAGAAGGTGTTCTTTAGAGTACCTCGCCGCGCTCAGATCGGTTGGTACAGGCGCAGCCTGTGGCGTAGACGTCGAATCGGCGGTGGGGAATTGCATCGTGTTATCGGGGGCGGTGACGGACTGGGGGGTCTGGTTCTGAGGGGCGGCTGAAGGTCGACGGAAGGTGAGCGTACCATTGCTCGATCGTCCGTCTCGTCGAGACCTAAAGAGGCAAAGCAAGAAAAAAAGCACCGCGTTAGCCAACGCAGTCTTCAGAATTGGGCTTTGGTTGTTTGCTTTTTGGTTTGCTAAGTGGTAGAGAAGGGGTTTCGATTTGGGCTTCTTGTACAATATGAGGCAGGGGAAAAAAACAGAAGCGATTTTGAGGGGGACACCAGGAAGTCTGGCACGAATTGAGAGCAAAAATTCAACAACTGTATGGCCATCTGAGGATTCCCAGAGCCCAATAATTATAGATAAAGCGATTCAGAGACAGCAAATGTCGACACAGATATTGGAGCGTTTGCTGCCCCTTGGTCCGGCAGGCGGCTGCACCCGAGCTTCAACCCGAGTGGCAGGGGCAAAATACGAGAACTGAGAGAAAACGAAAATACAAGTATCAAACGCAACATACCATTCAGGACCTCGTCCATCCGCTCTAGCACCCCTCGAATCGCGATTGGCATTTTGACCAGCTGCTGCAGACGCGAAGCTTGACGGGAGATTGGTCGTCATTGCTAAGGATTTTTGTGTTGGATAGACTCGTGGGAAACGATTATTTCTTCGGATCGAGCTCTGAGCTTATCGCAAAAAGGAGAAGGAACCCGTTTATCGACGGTGTTTGCTCGTTGTGCGAGAGAGTGTTGCGTGAGGCGGAAAAGTTCGATGTTGTCAGGAGAAGATAGGTGGTCTCGATTGATCGCCAAGGCCTGCTATATTTCTTGAGCACGAGCTGTTCTCGGGGATCGGATCGAAGAAGTTTCGTGGTGATCGATCGGACGTAAGAATGATTTTTGATGATAGGTTATTAGAGGATGATGCTCTAAAATCTTGAGATGATTTTTGAGGAAGAGGTTTGGATTGGTTTCGCGCTGGGTCAACAATAAAATGAAGTCTCGGTCTCGGTGCGTGTGTGAGAAGGAAGTTCAGGTTTTGAACTGCTGCTTTCCTTTGTGCTTTCCAGAAAAGAAAAAAAAATTCCAACCTGTAGAATTGGTGCTTGGGTGACAGTGCTACATTGGCGGGTCCAGGCGAAGGGAGGCTGTCGGCGAAATGTCGGCTCTGACGTGGTTCTGATTACGTAGGTCAAGTGTTTGCAGCTGGGCTGAGCGGGTGATTGGACAAAATTAGTCCGAGGTTTATCCGGCAGACAGAAACTCTCAGCAGCCAATTCAACGCCTTCTCTTTGGTCATCTTGCTTAAACTTAGTCTCCAGCAGCATCAATCCCAAAACGGTCATGTTATAGAACGGCGTTCCGGTTGTTGTTTCATGGACCCTCATCTCCTTCGCTCATTTCCGCCATTCTTCAATCATCCAGCCCTCCCTCTTTGACCTTCTCTGCCTCCACGAGCCTGTTCTCAACACAAGAGGGAGCTCTCCCCGCTCCGCTCCCCCCCCACCGCGACGTCCCGATCATCAGAGCTCAGCCACACCCCAGTGTTTGATATTCCGCGGCTTTCCAAACGATCCGCTTATCCCCCGTTTCTCTCGCGAGGATAGCCATCGCAGTTCGCCATGTCGAGCGAGAATAGATCAAGATTCGTGACGCAGAACAAGACGACAAACGAGCGACTATCCACAAACACCGTCGGTCTCGTTGCCCTCTCCGAGTTCCGCAAGCGCCGTGCCGAGGTTCTCGAACAGCAGGAGCGGGAAGCAAGAGAAGCATTACTCTCGGCGAGCTCGACGCCGAATCGGTCTACAAGTAGAACTCCAATCTCGGGAAACGTTAGCGGCGATGCCGGGAGCGGGGCCGAGCAGCCAGCGAAGAAGAAGCTAAAGCAGAAGAAGACGAAGAGGAAAGCCGGGCCAAAGCTATCCTTCGGCGGTGACGAAGACGAAGACGAGCAGGATGACGCTAACGCGCCGACCGATGGAAGCGGCGAGAAAAAGGTGGCGGCAACTCGGGACGGCGAAAGAGCGACCGATGTCAAGAAATCGAAACTGGCGGCGAATGCCTCTGTGGGAATCGTGCCCAAAACCCTCACCAAGGCGGCGATGAAGCAGGAGGCGGCGGAACGAGAGGCTCTGCGACGTGAGTTTCTCCAGATCCAGGATGCCGTGAAAGCGACGGAGATAGCGATACCATTTGTCTTTTACGACGGAACAAACATCCCCGGCGGCGTGGTCCGCGTGAAAAAGGGCGACCACGTCTGGGTTTTCCTTGACAAGAGCCGCAAAGTCGGCGCGGAGATGCAAGTCGGGGGGGACAAGGTCAGGGCGCGAAAGGCATGGGCCAGAGTCGGTGTGGACGATCTTATTCTCGTCCGGGGAACCATCATCGTCCCACATGTAAGTGTACCCTCCACATCACATGCCAGAGGCGAACAATGGGAAGAGAAAAAGAGCAAAGAGAAGAAGGACCAGAAGTCTAACAAAGTACTTTCTTAGCATTATGACTTTTACTTTTTCGCTATCAACAAATCACTCGGCCCAGGGGGCAAGCGAATTTTCGACTACAGTTCCGATGCGCCCAAGATGCATAACCATAACCACGCTAACGCCGACAATGCTGATGATGATAACAAAGAAGAAGAGACGTCGGGGCTGATGACGGCGGCGGCATACAAGGCGGCTGAGGCCAGGAATCTCCCAGATATTTCGACGCTCGAAGGCGCCAACGACGACCCGACGCTGACCAAGGTGGTGGACCGACGGTGGTATGAGCGCAATAAGCATATTTACCCAGCCAGCCTTTGGCAGGAGTTTGATCCTGAAAAGGATTATCAGACCGAGATTCGACGAGATCTTGGTGGAAATGCCTTTTTCTATGCCAAGTGAGGAGGGAGGAGGAGGTTTTGGTGTGTAGGTTGAAAAAGAAATCCCGAATTGGATCGAGCGTGTTTCGTTGGAATGTGATGAGAGTGGTTGATTGTGTCACACCGGCATCCGCCTCGAACAGCGCGGATAGCTTTTCAGCTCGTCGAATAATACCACCAAGGCCCGCTGACAAGCATCCAAATCACCCCCCACCACCCCATCCAAAACACCATCTTTAATATAGCGTTTCCTGGCCCCAACAAGAAGCTATAAATCTCAAGCTCGAGCTTCTTCCGAAATCGCGTCGTCACCTTTGTCTTCGCCATATACCGAATAGCCTCCCTCGACATGGCAGCAGCGAACGTCAACGACGCAGCCGAGAAGAGCAGCAGGCGGTAGACGACGACCTTGGTAACGGCGGCCGTGGGGATCAAGACGCCGATGAGTCTCCTCGTGAGGAAGTGCATGTTGGCGGCGAGGGGCAGGACAAAGAACTCCACGAGGCTCCGGATGCGGAATATCGTCTCGAGCGTGGGGATCATGAGTTTGAGGGAGGCGTAGGGGAGGTGTCGAGAGAGGGCAGGTTCGGCGGGGAGTTGGTGAGGTTGTCTCATGACGGAGGCGGAGGCGTCTCGCATGGTTGCAGAATTGTATGATTTTTTTTTGTATAATATCTGGGTGTTGAAAAGAGGAAAGTGGCGCTTATAGATGGGATTCGGGACGCCGTGGGAGACAAACAGCCTTTGGTTGGGGAATACTGAAGTATTCGTAGGTTGTGGTAACCACAAGACGATGGAAAAAGGAGATTTTGTAAAAACAGAAGGAAAAAAATATGAGGGTGTTCACAGAACTTCGGGTTGGGGGCGTAAAGATGGGAACGGTGTTAGTACTTCTGTATGGGCGGACGTGTTGATTTAAGTCGTTATTCGGAAGACCTTCGGCAGTGAGGGGCGCGAATTCTATGGCGTTCTACTCCTGGACGAGAGGTCGCATTATGCGTCGGGGTCGGGAGGGGAGTCAATTGAAGGTGTCTTGGTATTGATGGCAAGGTGGGTAATGTGGGTATGCGGGTATGTGCTAATAGTGCTTGAGGCGAGTGGGAGTTGAAGTGGGATGGGCCGCAATGAAGGCCTGGATCAATGGACTCAAAGCCCGTTGCGAGATGTGAGTGCCCCACCAGGTCCTGTCGTGGGTCTTGGCTGGTACAACTTCGCGATGAAGGAATCCTTGGTCGTGGTTGCCGCTTTTGGGGTGACGAGCTTGGTAAATAAAACACATGGCAAACGTTTCTATTGAGAAAGGGGCATCCGGCGTCTTTTGTAGCCTCGTCCTGGTCTTGGGTCCGATCTTGGAAACTGTCACTCAGGGTCCAGGGACCTCTGTCTCCGGCTTCGTCCTCGTCCCTCCTGTCCCGGCGCTCTCCACTGCTCCTTCCCACCCGTCCTCAAGGTAACATGTACTATCTTTAGCCAAGGAAAGATCACTCGACTTCACAGATGCACATTAATTCTCGCGCCCGAACCTCATTTCATTTATTTTTTTCTCATTTTTTGGCGGCATCTTCGCTCGAGCCCAGGGTCCCAGATCCCGATTGCTCTCCACTTTTACTTCGTCTCATCAATTTCGAAGCTCTTCGACTCGACACAAGCGCCCCCAAACTCTGCCGCCTCTCGAGTCTAATAACATCGTTGTCGTCGTTGGTCTGGCAGACCCGCACTAAGACGGCCGAGAACCAGTGAGGAAGTTCGGCAGGCCCAGGATACCCCACGCTTGCCCCTCATTCGTCCACGGCCGCCTCATGCGTCCATGTCCAACGTACCCGCTTTCTTGATCCCAACCGTCAAGCAGGACAAACTTCACTTCGGACACACAGTCGATGTTTTTGGTCTAGGTCGTACTTTTTTTGGCCTTGACGATCCAAGGCAAGGAGGGGCACTAGCCATGGAGATAGACTATCTAGCACACCGAACCGTTGCCTCCGGACCCTTCCGTAGCACAGCGGTGCCTACCTCTCAGATCCATGGATCAACCCACGTCTCGTCAATCTCGACACATACTAGTACACACCGGCAGTCTGGCACACGCGGATGGGAAAAAGTTACACATTCTCAAGCTAACTTCCCCCGGCCGGTAATCGCAACACTCGATTTCTATGCTAGGAAATTTTCAGCAAAGTATCCTGCCAAGTGCATCTTCCCGAACTCGTGATTCGCCCATGGCTTCTTTGCTCATGCCCTTGTCGGGACTTCTCCTTTCCTCTTCATCCTCCAGGTTACTTTCTTTGATCTTGTGATCTCCAGGCTAAGTGTTTTTTCTCGGGCTTATTTGTCTCTCTGCTCATCCATTTGCTTTTCGTCGTTTACAAATCCGATGCATGCTGGCATCTCGACATGCAACTGGTGGATACATACATGTAAATAACTCGGAGCCGCGGGGCAGCACGGGGGTTATCGATGGCCAGACCGTTATCGCAGACTAGGCGGGGGAACAGGGTCTTTGCAGGGTCCTGTTCAAAAAGATCAATGCTCTCACCCACCCTAGACTGGCGGCTGAAACCCTGCCGCAGAATGTGGTTAAACGGATTGGTCAACCGAAGCATGTCTGTCCAGAAATGGAAAGTCGATGCAGTCGACATTTGACTCGTATCTACAAGCACTTTACTTGATCAACACAGAGACTGCAATGGATGTCGTGGAAGTGGACTGAACGTTTATATCCTGAGCCGGTTTTATCTCACTAATGGCGAATCCTATTCTTAAATGTTCCAATTCTCAACAAGACCTAACCCAAGAGCAAGAGACCGACCGGGTCACCCGCCGACGTCCAACTCACCGATCGTGCCGCAAATAAAAAACTCCCCCCAAAAGTTGCAGGTCCCTAATTGGTCTAGTACTCGGTATCGACGCACGAATATTCGACTCCGTCCACTTCCAGCGAGAACTTCAAAAGTCCGGACGGATCGTTTCGAATCACCAGATCGAAGTAGAGTTCCACGTAGTCGGCGTAGTCTGAAGGACGTTTCTTGTGGATAAAGAGTCGACTCGGTACGAGGCTGAGGTCGGTCTTCAAGACGCAGTTTCGTCTCACTCGGGCATCTTTGGCTACGTCAAATATCTGTATCAACCATCTACGAGCCGACTCGAGTTTGTGGGATTCCATACCTTCATGTTCCGGACGATGCTCCGGTGCGTATTCAGCGTCGTACTCAAGAAGGTCTGTTTCAATATTCAGTCTGGAAGGATGAGGCGTTTTCCCGTAAAACGTTTGGGCGAGAGATATCGTCAGTCTCTCATCTCTGGAGAACGTGGAATTCTGATGTAAGAGGGGAAAGTTAGCATTGCGCTTGTAGGGTGTATGTACCAAAAATACACGCCGTCACATAGGCTTCGTTTCTCACGCGCTCTGAACACACCTTGTGTATGAACCACTGGTAGATCCGACACATGTTGATTTCCTCCAAGTCATCCCAGACTTTGGGCTCACCGCGATCGGTCTCGAGCTTCCATATGCGTCGACTCTTCGTGCCGTAGTGCTTTTCTACTTTGGTAGCGGTGACAATGGGGGCAATTCCTAACTTGCTCATGACGGCGCCTCTGAGTATGAAATGTTAATAAATAGGAGAAAAATCACGATGGCCGACGAAAGAAGATGGAAAGTTCAGCCTACTTAGAAACTGCGGTCCATCTAATGCCCGGTTAGCTGATGCACTACACTTTGATCCTTTCCCGACACCAGAGAGGCAATACTCACGCATCTATGGGTGGGATAACCATGATGTCGGGGTTCGATTTCTCAATGATGCTCTTCAGGTACACATTTGACCCAAAGCCTCCGACGAGAATGATGGCCTAAAGTTGTATCCCAGCCTCGTTTAGTATCCAATCTCAGTGGTGAGAATCCAAGTGGCCCATCTCAAAAGAATAAAAAGCAATAAAGAGGAGAGAGAAAACTAACCTTGATGTGGCCTGGTGTGGCTTCTGGAGCCTGCCTTGGCTCGTTTCGTGCCATCTCCATCTGTTCTGAGACGAGGCGATCAACCTGCCGAACGATGGGATCAAACATACCGAATAATTTCTCCCTAATGGGCCATTATGTCAGTAACCATGGAATCCAGCCCCGTTTTTACCTTCTCATTAGCCCTTCTCATATTTATATAGGAGGAATTCTCTCACCCTGTCAAAGCCAGGGAATTGGCCTCCAGGCCTTCGGCCGTGTTATCTTCCAAACCGGCCCTGTGAAAGGCAACATAATTAACAGCGTCGTGCCTTCCTCTGAAAGATGGTTTGATTCTGGTGTTAAAATCCACTAGTGCCTGCCGATATGAGTCCTTCTCTCGAAGGGCTTTATATTCTTGATCACCGCCGACGACGCTACGAACCTCTTGCTCGAAGAGTTTGTTGATCATCATAGACCCAAAAGCGCCACCTAAAACAGACCATCTTAATAACGGAACGTGAAATGGTCTGGTGCAGGGGAGAAGAGGGCTCTGTTACCTGTCGGCGTAGTCAAGGCGTGGAACTGGAACGGCTCCAGGCTTTTGACCTCGTAGGAGACAAGATCTACGGTGCCGCCACCGGCGTCGCAGACCACAAATGTATCTCCCGCCTAAAGGTGCGTCAGCCGTGCAAGATTCCCCTCATGCCCTCAACAGGAGTCATCGCGAAGAGATAATCGCTATCGCACCTTTAGTCCCATGTCTTTCATTGCCGCCAATGCACAGATTGCGGCCGCCTCAGACTCGCAAACGAGCTCGACTGGAGAAATTCCAGCCTTCTTCGCGGCCTTGAGCGTTGTACACTTTTGTTAGCTCTTCGGGAATTCCAACGACGACCAAAAGAAAAAGAAGAAAAAAAAAAAAACCTACCAGTAGCGTCTGATCCTTCGCCTTATCCGACCAAATGGCTGGGACTGTCAGAACAAACTTCTTCTCAAACCTCCGTTGCACATATTCCGGATTCAAAGAATCCCCCTCAATGGCTGCCAGGGCGTGGTTCATAATGGCCTTCATATAGTCGGCGGTGACCTCCAGAACTGATTTCGGCAGCTTTTGCATTTCGGCCTCAATATCGTTAGATAACAAGTAGGGCCATTCCTGATCCGGGTCTAGGAGCAATTTCAGCCCCTCGATTATATCTTTGTTGGAAAAGGTCAACTGGTCACCCCATTGGAAAGAAGTGGTGGAGTCCAGGTCGTATGCAATGGTTGTGGGAGTTTTGGGAGCGGATTGTCCAGAATTGCCGGGCCAGTGGACGATCGTGTATACTCTATCTGGCTCCGACGAGAAAGCATACGAAACTCTAGATCGAAGGGTAAAACGATGGAGATTGGTTATTTAAATTGTTCTCGCCGGGCCCAGATGTGGGTAGAGCAGGGAGCCCTCGGAGATTTGGGGGGGTTAGGATAGTATTCTTACCCACTATATGTGGTTCCAAAATCTAGTGAAATGATGAGGCTATCCTTCCCTTGGGCCTTCACCCTCTTGCGAGGTGGCTGAGGCATGATGGTACACTCGATGCGGATGCAGGATTGAATCGATATGGATGTGACCAAAAGCTGGTATAAGTGATGTGTATGTTAACGTGGATGAAAATGTGAGGAAGCGCCATTTGATATTTACATATATATAATTTCCATAATAGCTTCTAGGCATCATCAGCTTCATATAGCCTTGCTGTGAGGATAGGCTGAAGTATGGATTATTCTGGGTATTACTATAGATCTATATTAACCTAGTGCCTTCAGCTATATTTATGGCTATCTTGAGTCCAGGTAAGAAGACTCTTGAAGGTAGAAGAATAAGAAGAACAAGAAGATTGTATCACTACCATAGTTGTAAATGGAATGTGTAATTTCAACAGATATTGATTCACCAACTTTTCTCTTTACCTCTTTTGTCCTCGCCTCTCTTCATCTCTTGCTTCTGTTGCTTCTTTCCACTCTTCTTCTTTCACTTCCTTCTCTTTCTTCTCTTCCTTTCTTCTCTTTCTTCTCTTCCTTTCTTCTCTTCCTTTCTTCTCTTGCTTCTCTTCCTTTCTTCTCTTGCTTCTCTCAGCCGCATCTTCTCTCACTTTCCTTTTCATCTCCTGTGTCACATAGACACTGCTACTCCATTCTCTCGAGATCTTTGGAATGAACAAGAAGACAAAGCTTACCTGCCCTCCTAGACACTTTATCAACCTCGCTTGCGCTCACTCCCAACTCGCTCACTCCGGTTTTCTTCTAATACTAAACATACCTTGATCTTTACCCACTCATTTAAGTTGTTGCCCTAGTTCTCAACTTAGCTCTATACCGAGGCAAAAGCCTAGAGTTACCCAAGCTCACAAAGCCATCATGCAATCCCAAACCCGCGACGTCCCTATGGACGAGGTTGAAGTCCCTCTGGCGACTACCCACCCAGGGTCGGCGGCAAACCCCCGAGTATCACAAACACGTGGGCCGATATCTCAAGAAGCTCCTACTCGCCAACTGTCCTTGGTACTCGACCGACAAGCCGTGGTCGAAAGCCTGACTGTAACAGCCGGCCATATCCTAATCGATACTGACACGATTCTTCAGCCTCACCTTAGGAGATTCACGGCCCATCTAATGCGGCAAAAAGAGGTGTACGAACGAACCATACAGGATCTCCACGACCAATTATCTGAGAAGGATGCTCAGATCGATGCCCTCAACAAGACACTCCTCCGAACCGGTCGGGGAGATGCCCTCACGGACGATATTGTTAAAACCTATTTTATCCAGCTGAAAGGCGCAATTTTTCAGTTTGTGATGAATCACTGTGGACTGTTTCGCCACCAGCTGACAACCACCTCTTCGTCAAAAGAGCACCAGACCTGCATTCTAACATCCGATCTAGCCACCATCATTCACAGCAAATTCTTCTCTCCCGATTCCCTGGCTTTTGGTCACAGTAACCATACGGGGTCTCAACACCCCTTGGACATCGCTGACAAACACCTGCAAAATTCGAGTTGCGATGGTAAGTTAAAACTCACTCTCCCAAGATAGGACACCTCGTGACAAGTTGAAAACAGAGACTCTGCATCGCAAATGGCGCATCGCAACGGCTAAAGCGATTGCCTCCATGCATGCCAACACCACCGCCGACGAGCCCTACCTCCTGGCGCGGTCCATCTGGGTATCCCTCCACACCAAATACGGCCTTCCTCCGCAACTCCAGGGGCACCCAACGGATCTCAAGGACCTATGCGAACAAGCCATCACCCTAGCTCTTAAGCTACGTTCCTCAAAGGTCGAATACGTCTGGGAACAGACTCTGTCGTCGCGATGGGATGGGGTAGCGCCTCTACCGAAAGATGTCGTGGTGTGGGTAGAGGGACCGGACCTTGCTGAGGATGAACCGTCTGATATCTCGTTGATTGTGTTTGGGGGAGTAGTTCGAGGTGAGAGAAGGAGCGGGTTGTTGAAAAACGGTATGGTCAGAATCTGTGAGGGCGAGGTGATCCGGAAGCGGAAAGACACCGGAACAGCATTTTAAACTTGAACAGACACACATGCCAAGGCAGGTAAGGGGAGTTGGTAGGATTGGATTGGATCGGCGATTTGTGTCCCATAGTATCTTGGGCTGTATCCCTGGTAATAACATGTTTCATTGTCACGGGCGGAGGAAATGTTGAAATAAGGAAATATGGACGGAATGGTGGAAAGATATTAGCAGATCTTTCTCGGAGATCTGAGGCCGACGTGCCTAGTGTACCCGATTGCTATCGACCCATATCCCCCATCATATCATTTTCTCCCTGTCTTAGATTGGCGAGTCCTGACAGCTTCACCGGATGATTGGCCGATTGTAGTATCTCACCGCCCGGAAGCTAGGCAAAGTAAATACCAAAAACATACATCAATTCCGTACTCTAGCGCTCTCCTACTGTGGCTTCCTCACACTGGCTCAGGTGTTCAAATACAGCTGTATTTCCGAAATTGGGGGCTCCAAGAAAAGTTGAGGAGTAAATGAGGGGCTATTGAAGTCCGTGGCTCGATTAAGAGTGCTCGGAGTCATACGTATGGTGCTCGTAGTTCCGGCTCAGACAACGCAATTTCACGGAGACTTCGTGATGATTTCGGTGAGAAGTTTCGATTCGGTGACGGTGGGGTTAATGATTAGTCATGCACTTTCTGTGCCCCGCCAAAACAACTTGAATTTTGTAACGATTTTTGAAGGAGGAAAAAGAACTCCAAGTCAAGGCGCTCGACTGGATATTCTGACGAGCTTGTAGAGTTTTCGTCGAATTTGATTGTATTTCGACCTATTCAGATACTCGGAAATTTGAGTCTCGGTGGGAAACCAACGCTGCTCAATTCCAATCTTTTCTTTTCCTTTTGTCCCTTGACTTGACCCCACCATCACCCAAGGACCCCTCCTGCTGGCCTCTCTTTCTCGGCGACGCCGCTGCAGAGATGGGAGACTCTGGGATAGGAGGGCTGAGACCCCCGCTGGACTTGCTAAAGTCTGTGTCTGAAGGCGACTACACCGGGGTTTTGACCTCTCCAGCGGCAAGGACTGGCATCCAGCAGTGCGTCGCATCCCTACAGACTCCAGGAACCACAGGCGCGGAAGGACGAGACGACAAACTCGCCGTTGGCATTGCGGCCTTCAACGCTTTTTTACAAATTAACGTTACGGGTCCGGTCCTTGAAGGTGTTGGAAACGTCGAAGCCGTCTTCCAGGAGGCAGGGGGTGACAGGTCCATTGAGGAACTGAGGAAGGAGTGTCTTAGGGCGCTGGAGGTGGATGGCGTGTCGCCCTACGCTTATATTCCGAACGTTGAGCTATTTTACCTTGCGCGCTACGTTATCCTTGGCCTTGGCCTCGATGAATTCGAGGGGAGGAAGATTGCGCTTGAAGAAGGCGTTGGCGTTTCACTCCAGTGGCTTCGGCTCAGGGTGTTCGTGTGGCATTACAAGCTGTTGACGCAGCCTAGTCTGGGACCCGCCTCGTCGTTCATGAAGAGTTCGCATTGGAGCGATGTGCCCACTCTCATTTCCCAGGCGCAGGGTGTCATGGAGGAGGTTAGGGCTGAAGTCCTGGCACAGGAGGGTAACTCCTGGACCGTCGAGGAGAGGGTGAGGTGTCTCCTCGAGCTGGCGAATATCGATATAATGCTGGGTCGGGACGAAAAGGCCAGGGAGGCGATTAAGGGTGCGGCAGATTTAAGTGGGTTCGAGTATGCCCTTACGGGCGCGTTGGGTAAGAGGACGAAATTTCAGGAGACGAGCTTGAGTCAGCTGGTGATTCTTGCGAGGAGTAACAAGGGCCACCAAGATAGCCAAACCGAGAAAACTACGTCCGTTCCCGGGACCTTACCTTTGAACGATGATGTTTTGCTCGAAAAAGTTGCTTTTGATGGACGCGAGAATGGTGTTGTGGAACCAAGCGTGGAGAAATCGAGTGGTGACGGACTCGCCAAAGACCTCAACCCGGATGCGCAACCACAGCTTTCTACGCTGGACCAGATTATCCTCTTGACAGAGGCGACGCTGAAGGATGTCTTTTCGCCGCTCGATGCGCTTACTTCGGAGGAGATTCTGCCGTACGCCGAACGTGTGCTGCAGGATAAGTCGACCAACTGGCAGGTGTATACGCAGGCGCTGATTGTGAGGTCGAGGCTGGAGGTTCACCGGAGCCGGACAGTGGAGAGGGGCGTGTTGCAGATGCAGGCGGTGATTGATCAAGTTATCGTGGACACCTCGACGCCGCTTGCACTGAATTCTTCTGCCGCGACGGATGCTAAGGTGGAAGGAGAAGATACCGCTGTTCCCACTATTGCAGTTAGTGCGCCTGGAGAACAAGCTTCGCCAGTCGATGAGACGAAGCCCACATCATTTTTCCGCGCCCTAGAGGCTTCCGATTCAGCGCCCGCACAGGAGAGACTCAAGTACATCCACGCCATCGCCACGCCACCGAGGTGGCATCTCGAGTCCGAGCTCGCATACGGCTGGACAGGCATCGGTGCGCTCGTCTCAGCCCTCGAGATCTTCAAGCGGCTCCGTCTCTGGGCCGAGGTAGCACTTTGTCTCGCCACGGCAGCCGCCTCAGCCGAGAATGACGAAGAAGGTCGGGGAAGTGGCGGCGACGCGAAAGCTCGCGGCATAATCCGCTGGCGTCTTTTCAACAGGACGGGCCGTCCCGCCTCCGAATCTATCGACGCCGACGCCGAATCCGTCTCGGACAACGACGTAACGCACCTCAAGCCTTCCGACTTTACCGGGCCCGAACGAGACCCTCCTCCACCCAACGCGCCACGCCTCTTCTGCATACTCGGCGACCTAGAGGATGACCCTTCGCACTACGAACGCGCCTGGGAGATTTCCAAAAAGAGATTCTCCCGCGCTCAGAGGAGCCTGGCCGAACACTACCTCCAACAGAAGGATTTCGCTGCCGCCCGTGACGCCTACAAGATGGCGGTGCGCGTCAACAGACTTAGTCCCGAAATGTGGTCGCGGCTGGGTGATATACACCTTCGGCTCGGTGAGACGCAAGATGCGGCGGATGCTTTCGGGCGGGCTATTTCGGCTGCCAGTGATGTCGTCGGTGGCGAGGACGCCAGAACGTGGAGCAATCTTGGGAGTGCGCTTTGGAGCATGTACCTTGACGCCGTCGAGGATCTCAAGAACTCTAAGAAGGAAAACGCTCCTACAAAACCCACTAAACTTGACGACGAGGAGACGGACGAGGAAGAAGGTGACGAAAACGAGAAGGACGCGGGTGGAAGATCGAAGAGCGCAAAGGACGCCGCTACGCTTCTAACGCAGTCTCTACAGGCGTATAAGCGCGGAGCGAACCTCGCGAGGGAAAATTGGCAGATTTGGGATAACGTGTTAACCATCGCCTCGAGAACACGGCCGCTTTTCGTAGCGGACATGGTGCAGGCTCTGCAGAACATTATTCGAATTCGAAAAACGGAGACGGCAATCGACGAAGATATCCTCCGGCTCCTTCTACAGGAAGCAGTTCTTTCCAAGGAGAAAAAAGCAGTGCCGGGTCGAGACGAGAATGCAATTTACGAAACACCAAGAGGCTCGGAGGAGAGGTCCGTCGTGGAACTGATCGAGAGGGACGTCGTTCCTCTCATCACCGCGCGTTCGGAGCTCTGGGAACTCGTGTCGAGGGAACGTGCTTGGAGGAGGGATTACGCTGGGGCGGTGGAGGCTTCGGAGAGGGCTTGGCGGGCGTCGATTGGCATGGCTGGAGCTGCTGCGAACCTCGCCGTCGGTGCGGGTAGCGGCGATTCGAACGCGGCTTGGCAGACGGATGTGGAGGCATGGAAGGTTGTTGTGAAAAGGACGGACGAGTTGGTTTCTGTGTTGGAGAACTACGGAATGGAGGTGGAGAGTGTTGGCGAGAAGTGGAGGGCCAAGGCGAGGAGTGCTGTGAGGAGTGTAATAGGGAAGGGGAGGGCGAGGTGGGAGGGCGGCGAAGGGTGGAGTATACTAGAGGGGTTGATCGAGGAGCTGAAGAGGTAGGAGTTACATGGCACGAGAGTGTTATTTTTCAAGATGGGAATATAATAGCTTTTGTGGTTTTGCATGTACTTGCTATTCATAGACCGGTTTAAGAAAAAGGACTGCCCCCTTTGTAGCATCTCCCCCTAAACTTCCCCGAGTTCCGGTAAATTACTATCCATTTAAGACTGTTTTTTTCCCCCTTCGCTTTACCACAACATGAGCCTCGGAGATTCTAAAGACGCCGTTCTTCAGCAACCCACTTTCTCGATCGCCTCTCACCACGCCCCCGAACACAACCAACGAAACATCCAAGTCTTCATCATCGCTAATATCGGGTTCCTCGGTTCCTACCATAAAATCCCTCTCCGGGTTGTATTCTTCCCCGTCGATCCTCGACAACAGCGTCTGCTCCCAGACATATTCGCTACCGGTAGAGCGGAGGTCAAGAGCCAGGCGGATGGCGTGGGAGCACATATCTTTGAGATCCTTTGGCATCTTGTCAGATGGCGGGGAATCAATGCCGTATTTACGGCAGAGGGACTGCAAGACGGATTGAGCGATGACTTCGGAGGCTTCGTCGAGGGTACTCTCGGTGAAGACGGAGAGTGCGGCTTCTGTGGTTGCGATTCGCCATTGTTGGATGAGATTGTCTATTTCGAGTTTCGAGTTTTCCCCTCTTAATAAGTTGTCTTCTATTTATGTAGATATATATATGTGTGTGTGTGTATTGTTTTATTGTTTTCATGGGCCGGAGGGTGGCTTGAAAGGATATTGACTTACGATCACAACCAGAGTCTCTTAGGTATTTTTCGAAGAGGTACAGGGGATTTTGGGATCCCAAGTGGTCACCATACCCAAACAACTTGGAATCTGGAGAGAAACATGCGCCATGAACAAGCGTAGCTATCTCAGAGCTCAGAGCAAGGACATGAAGCTCTGGCGTTGACGGACTAGTGGTCTGCTTAGCGAAGCTAAAAATTGACTGCTTGAGCTCCTGGAAACGCCCCTTGACGATCTTATCCGGTATGATTTTGGGTTTCTTGCTGGCAAAGAGGAGTTGCTTTCCAGTGGTGTTAAATGCGGCCTCGTCTTCCTCTTTTTGTTGCTGTAGCTCGGCTTCGAACTTGGGAAGACAGCAACTCTTGACGATTGCGTCGATGTCAATTAAGACTCGACTACCGACGATGGTTATATTCTCTAGCGTTGTTTTTAGGTCAAGTCCTAGGGAGGCCGGGCCAGCGGCGCCTTCTCGAGCCCCTGTTCCGGGTGGCTGGGGTTCCTGGCGATCTGTTCCCGATGCCGGGGCGATCTCGGGAGAAACTGCTAGCTCGTCCGAAGAGTCGCTGTCCATGGGGGATTCCATGACGGTTCTCTGGGCTTGGAGAACTTATCGACTATGTCCTGCGATACAAGGTAGACTCGAGAACTAAGACGAGGACCGGAAAAAAAAAATGAGGGATAATCAAGGTACTTGTGAGTAGTCGGGGGAAGGGCTAGACGGGTTCGTGATGAGCCCAGACGAGTCAGATATACTCGACCCTTTGGAGGCACTAAACAAGGTCTCTTTGTGCCTTAGAAAGACTTCGAAGGAATGTTCGGGAGACAGCGCGTTTGTGAGATGAGTGAAGGGAACCAACGAAGACGAAGAGAGAGAAATGAATAGAGAAAGAGACCCGAAGAGAAAGAAATGAATTGAGTAACGGAATTGGAAAATACGAGATGAAGGAAAAGGTCATCTCATTGGCATCTTGTTGGAGTGATGTTTCTTAGAGGACTCGAATACAGCCACGTCACTTCAAGAAACTATCAGGACCCACCGCAACCTCCTTGGATCCCTTAATATCAGAAGTGCCACTCTTTCTGGACATGTGGAGGTAGGAATGCCGCGATTAAAGAGTCTTAAAAAAAGTGGAATTGATGGGAGGGATGTGTGCAATTTTTCTCAGCACAGCTCACAGCACAGAGGAATGCCTCTCACAGACCTTCCAGGCCTTGCACGTCTGAAATGGAGAGAGGAAACGATGGGATGATGGCAACCAGGTACTTCAGACGTATCTTGATCCGAAATACGAAGCGGCTCCTGCGAATATTACACTCATGGGTTTATACAGAAGTTTATACCACACCACTGTCCTTCCGGATCAAATGCTCCCCATGGACGGTTAACAGAGACAGTCAGTTTCGGTGAGTATAGTCGACGAAGGAAACACCAAGAAACAAGAATGTATTTCCGGTTACTTGGTGCTCTACTACTTACTGGTCATGAAGAATGTAGAAGATCGAGTACTCTTCTCAGCATGGCCATCATCCTCTAAGCTTCTTTGACTGCCGATGAATTAAAATCTATTTACGCCGTAAAAATGTCTCTTGCTTTGAAGTACTTCTTTGCAGCCGCCAAAGTCTTATCCCAAAAACCTCTAGGCGACTTTCCGGAGCTTCCCGTTGCAGGGTGGCCTTCGTTCCCCATTGTGAGCGGTTCTATTACACCTATTTCCAACTATGTTTTTCACTTGGTCTTTAGGATTAGGCCTCCACATCTTGATCACTTATTGAGCGTATTCTTCTCTTCGTTTGTTATCTTCACCCGTTCGCCGTCGCCTCTTTCGCCGCCCCCATGCATCTGCTCCGCCTTGTCCATCTTCTCCACCTACGTGCCATCTCCAACCGGGGGAGGACCTTCTCCGCCTGTACCTTCGCCCGGCTGGAAAAGCCGTTTCGCAGCCTCCCGCCTCTTCCGAGCAAGCGACTTCAGCGCCAAAATACCCTCGTCCTCTCCCGACGAGTCCTCGTCTCCCCAATTATTGCTGCCCGGCCCCTTGCTGAAGAATTCCATGATCGGCAGAACCTGCGAGACTATCTGCGCGAACTCGGGCGTGTCCGGCTCCGTCCATCCGGTAGACACGTTGGCGGGCCCGTCATTCCCCCGGTCCGAGAGAATCCCCTGAGCGTACCTCTTTGCCAGCGCGGCCTGCTCATCGTTCCAGGTAGAGGGCATGAACATCGAGTATGTCGCGTACGGCCAGACGTCTGGAAGGCGCGGAAGAAGAGTAGGTTCCTCTGCGCTCGATTCTTTTTGTGATGGCGGCGGACCGATGGGTCTGCGGCCGTGGACTAACGTGCCCATTCGCGGTGGTGGCTTCACTTTTACGTTTGGTATATTGGGGCGTCTCCTTCGCATTCGCTTTTGTGTCTGGAGTGTTTTTAGTAGCTCTTTTTGTGTCTCGAGCTCCTGGTCGTAAATTCTCCGTTCGTAGAGTTGCGTGCGGTGAAGGAGATGTCTTGCCTTGATACCCATGGTACGGCGAGTAGTTCTCTTTTTCGGGGGTTCAGTCTTTGGGGGTGGAGGAGCGGGTGGATTCGTCGGGGGTTCAGACTCCGAGTTTCCCTGCGCCATCATAGCTAGCCCGTATGGCATGGACGGATCCGATTCGATGTCGCCCATAGCAGCATTTCCATCGAGCACTCCCGCCTGATTTGGCCGTTGGTGACGCTTCCACTCGTCCGCTATCTGCGCCATTAAATGGGAGCACTTCCAGTACCACTTACGCCCATTCGAAGGATCAATCTTCTCGAGCGCCGCAATTTCGCCCCCGAGGAGGTCTTCTAACGGCTTTATTATCTCACTTAACTTCTGGCCGCTCAGGTCCGGTGCTTCATCGGGGTTTTCGAGAATCGAATACGTTCTCATAACTCCTCTGATAGTGCTCTCGAGTCGTTCTTTTTTCCTCTGAAGCTTCGCCATCTTGCCTGAAATCGATTCAGTTCTCTTCTTTGAGACCCGGGCGAGAGGTGACTCTGGCGTGCGCGCTCTTCGTTCTCTTCGGAGCCGCTTAGCCGTCAGTCGGAAGTCAGATTTGGGAGTGGGTAGGCCTGGAATGTACTCAAAGTCCTTTTTCGGATGGGGCGCGAACCGCGTGATTTTCGGCGTGTGCTTGGTCCCCTCATTTGCGTGAGTTCTGAAGTTGTTTGCGTCGTTCCACTGCGGCGCGTTCTCGTCAAGTCTGGCAATGGCTCGGCCCTCGAGATATGGCAAAACCTCTTGTGGAATGTCCGCTCTCTGGACCACCCTCCCACAGAAGCTCTCGAGTGTTACTCGGAGGGCCCGATGGCCGTATCGGGCGAGAGCTGAAACACGAGAACGAAATTAGAAGAAAGACACCGATGAAGGAGCTTGGAAAAGCGGGGAGTAAACGTACTTGTGACATTGTAGATCACATCGTCAGCGCAGATCCAGGCCTCGTTGTATCCAGCGTCAGAATAGACTCCACTGCACTTCTCCAGATCGGAGACACAAACTCCTGGAAGCCACGAGGTAAGGAGCGGCTGCTCAACGGCCTCCTCATCGTCTTCGTCGTCGGCTAGTGGTTGGCGGATGACTGGTTTTAATTTTCCCACGATGAGCTCGGGACGCCGTGCGAGGGCCATGGCATCTTCATGTCCATCACGAACGCTTAGAGTCAAGTTCGGACGATCCGTGAAGGCTATTTTACTGTACAGGCGATGATGCGGGAGACTTAGATTAAGAATTTCCTCTTCGCCGACGTCTATAGAATTTGGCCGTTAGTCTTAAACTCTTTCTCTCACACCACCTGACGCATGTTGTAGCTGTAGTTTGGGGGTGCAGCCTACCAAGTCTGTAAATGTGCTCGTTGATGACGAACTCGTTACGCGCAAGGACAGTATTCTCTCGTCTTGGAACAATCTTCCCCACGACTAAATGTTTAATGGTGTTTAGGATTTTGTCGGGTTCGGTGTGGGCGCGGTTAAAGAGATCCGTGCAGTCTCTTCCAACCGCATACTCCTGGAGAATACTCGAACCTCCGGGATGCCAGTTGATAAAGTCTACAATGAGAAGAGAAATCAGCCTGGAGGGGATCTCAATGGTGGCTCCCCAGCCCTTTTCACATAAAAATGAAGGAAAAGAAAAGAGACCATACCTGTCAGATCATACATCATTCCACGCAGGACAGTGTACATTCCCGTCCTATGGGATGTGAACCAGGTCACGTCGTCGGCGGTGTACATCGGACCGTGTTCAGAACTCGGTTTCCTTCTCCTAACCCTCCCAATTTTGTATTCTTTAAGCCTCTCCCGCAAGTCCTGGAGGCGGGCCTCCAGCCCTCGGTTCTGAAGGGCCACGATGGCGTTGCGACCCTGGGATTCCTCGAGCGCGGTTCGTTCCCCCTTCGACAGCTCGACGTGATTCCTTGGGCCCAAGACCACTATAAACTGTTAGAAAAGGCCGTACATAAAACTCCTTGTCAGGGGAATAAAAAAAAAAAAGGGGGGGGGGGCGTATTTGGATTGTACCTGTGATATCGTAAACGTCGTCACCAAGACGAGTCCAGGACCGGGTGGGAGTTCGGGCTTCGGCCACCTCCTCAGCGTTGAATTCCTGGATAAGGTAGCCCACATGGCGTATTTTCTTCGCCTTCGTAGGGCTAAAAGTACTTCTGATACTTTCGCCTTTGAGGACACGTCCATATTGACAGTAACTGAAGTCCGGTTTGTTCCCAGGCCACGGGAATGAAAATCCCAACATTGCATCTGCAAACCAGCGAGTTAGTCAAGCTTTGGCCTTCACCGGAAACCGCACTTCATCCGAGTCTACATGCAATCTTGACTTACCAGTAACATCGTACACAGCGTACCTCTCTCCCTCGTGAACCAACGCCCAAAATCTCCCATTCCGGAACTGGTCCGCCACCTGGCCGACGGTCCAGAGTTTCTTTTTGGGATTGGGGACTTCACCCACCCTAGGGACGGCGGGCACTGAAGCGGGTGCCTGGGGTATACCAAGCTTCTCGAAGTATGCTTTGTCCATGGATATGGACTTGGTTGCCGGCCACTCCTCGTTACCCCAAGGGCTTCGGACTTGATCTTCGTGGGAATACTTTGGAATCTTGAAAAAGATGTCCAGCCATCTCCCTGGGCCTTCAGAAGCTACTGCATTGCCTGCGTTGCTGTTCGCTGACCCGATGATATACCGCGGCATTACGTCCTTGAGGAGATGCCTAAGATGGCGAATTTGCAACAGCAAGAGTCTCGTCACGAGAGGGACAGCCATATCCTGAACTCGGTACAGCTCCAACGTGTTCCGAGCCTCATTGAGAAGCTCAACCCTTATGGCTATAATTTCAGCATCTGTCTCACCGTGGTGCCTCTTAGGTAGCACGAAGTCGGGGGCCTTTCGGTCAGCCCACCAGTGCTCCATGACTCGAATTGGCTTGCCGTCATTCGAGGCCTGGGCCGCCTTGCTGAGTTTCCAAATCTGTCTCCTACCATCGGGCCAGATGAACCCAGTTCGCTGACAAGTCTTGGGCTCGAGCCTCGCTGGTAGTGCAGCCATGATGATCAAGCCAACTGCTCGGCAGAGAAGAGCATTGGTGTAAAATATGGTAGGAACCACGACTTCTGACGCGATGAAATAAGGCATGATGATCCACCTCTCTGCTATCTCGTGGGCGCGGAATTCGTCGTACTCCTGCCTCCGGAGGAAGTACTCCTCGGTAATCAAACGGAGCTCTTCGCGGAAAACGATGTTCGAGTAGGGTGGTAGCTCCCAGTTGCGACGCATACCCGCGTACCACTTCTCCCTATACCTAGACCAAAGCCTGCGTCTATGCTCAAGCTGCCTTACCAAACGAAGACCCGCGCCATTTCCGGGAGCCGAAACGGTGTCCATGGCCCAGCACGCTTGCGTGGTCCGAAACGCGCTCATGCTCCAACCGAGATGGAACATGTCTTCGCAGAAGAGGTATTTGGGGAATTTGAGGGCCTGGATACCGAAACGCTGGACTTCATATGTCCAGAAGGTTTCGTTCATCATCGAGACCTGCCAAATGCTGGGTATAGGCCACACGACATGTCGGTGCAGCCACGCGGGATACAGCTTGAGGTCAAGCGGTCCAATTATCTCGCCGACTGCAGCAAGTTGCTGGAGGGCATCGGCCTGGATAGGAAATTCCCGAGCCTTCGTCGGGAGTACGAAGCCTGTCTTGTTCGGATTGCCTGGGCCCTCGTAAAGGGGGAATTCTAGCTTTCCGCCAAAGATGGACTTTGCGAAGGATGCTCGATGATCGGCGATAACTTCTTCGCCGTAAAACTAATTGGTGTTAGTGAAACCGCATCGTGAGAGGTAACTTGTGGAGAAGAGATCAAATACTAGCTGAAACTGCCTGAGTCTGGTCACCCGTGGGTCGGTTTTCGCCTCTTCTTCTAAGTAGGCCAGCCCTCTATTTCGCGCCAGAGCATCCTATATAAGTGAGAGTGTAAGTATTGAAATTCAGCGAAATTCTCTAGATATCTGTAGATAGATATCTAGAGCCCCAGAGGATAACTGTGAAGTCACCTACAATGAACGCCAGGACCATCTGTCAATAGAAGGAAAAAAAGTATCAGTAACAGCAACCGCAACATATCAAACTCTGGATAGATTTCTCACATTTACTCCAATTGTATGTTGAATAATGCACCTTTCCACATCAGTCACATTCTGACTGAAGAGAGCTTTGATGGCCGAGATATCGATCGATATGACCATTTGAGATGAGCCCCCTTGTTTAAGCGACGGGCAATCGACTATGCACATTGTCTGTCCCCGGAATGACTCCGGGGTGGGAAATTCGTGGCGCGGGTCGAAGAAGGACCACGAGAAAAGATAGTCAATGGTATCAAGGAATTCTTCGACACATTCCGGGGAGAGGCGCCGATGAGAATTGACCTGGATGAATCTCCGGTAAGGTTCGGCATCAGTCGTGGCGGAAACGTCCCCGGTATCCTTGTTGAGAGTATACCGGATTCCGTATGTGGTTTCATGGGCAGACGAGTCGACGAGCGAAGACAGCCTATGGAGGCAAGTTCGTCAGCAATTAGCAATGCGATATCCCCAATACGCATAAGAAAAGAAAGAAAAAAGCGCTGGAGGGAGATAGTGCAACGAGTTTGCCGTGAACAGGAACGTACCAGGGTCCGCCGCAGGCCAGATGTAGAATCCGGTTCGCCAATTCAAGGGACGGCCGCAGCGCTTTCCAGACAGCCGGGTTGTCTACAGACCAGATACCGTTGTCGCCTCCATAGGTCCGCGGACAATCAATACCACTATCCCGCAGCCTGACATTGTAGTCAATCCACCTATTCTTCTTAAAAGCCGAGAACCATTTGTCTTCCTTAACGACAATGTTCTGCCCCCCTTCATCGCCCGTGGGAACAAGCCCACTCCCAGCTCCGTAACTGGGGACATCTTTCAGGAGAACTGCTTCCCAGGTGCGCAAACCGCCGAACCTCTGGAGCTGGATAGATTCCGACGTAAAAAGCCGATCTGCCTCCTCACCCTTTGGGGCCTCCACGTCGCCCGAGGTGCCCTCCAGGATGTACCCCCGGATTCTGGGAATATCGATCGGGTCGAAGGTTGGAAAGGACGGTGAGAGCCAGGATCGGTTTGTGTGAAGAAAGGGGCCGGGCCCTTGGCTGTGGACGCCGTAGCGAGCGCCCCAGGGGGTCGGCGGACGTGTGGTAAGTTCCCATTCGCCTGCCTTGGGGTCATTGTCCACCGTGGTTCTCCGTTGGGTTTCCATGGTTGATAGGCTTTTGTGACGGCGACTGTCGGAAATATGAGAAGTCAAGAAAGAACCGCGGGGGGATAAACCTCAAGGGTGACACTGGAGCCAGGGTTTAAATAGCCAAAGATGAACCCCATACCCCGTGATATCGAGTAGGCAACTTTTCAAGATTTGAGGCAGCGCATTGGAAGGTCGCTGAAGATGTTAGAGAACTTGGGTATTTGGGACTTGTTTGAGGCAACTAAGTTGGAAAAGAAAAGGTCTAAGAAGAGGTGACAAGAGAAGAGAATGGCATCAGAAAAGATCTCTGTGATTCAAGTGGGAGGAGTTGAGGACTACATGGTCCTCCTGGACAAACTAGAGATGCCGTTGACTCGGGTTGACGGGAATCATCATTGACGCTTTCAGAAGGATCGCGGGCTGGCATTCCAGCATCCGACCGCTTATTGGCGAAGATGCGAATGCCCGACGGAACCGACCACATGTGGCGACAAGGGAATGAGGGATGGGAATTCCAGGCGAGAGGAACATTCTAAAGGGTATAATCTCTATTGTTTTCGCAGAGAAAGGAGAAACCAGGGCTTCTATGTCCACAGAGACGGATCTCATGCCCTGGATGTTTCATTGCACGGATTTAGGTCTTAATTTTGGATTCACTCAATCCACTCAGCCTAGTCTAAGAAGAAGTTCTTAGCGATTCGCGACTCACGATATGTTAGCCTCAACCTGAAGAGATTGAGTGGGAGCAAGTCCCGAGAGGGAGAAGCGAGAGGAAATATTGATTCATCCTGCTTCAAGACTAGGGTCGGAGAATAGAGAGATGATTTCAGGTCTGAAGGATGCTGTTTCAACCATCGTCCCGGTGGTTCTCTTCTCCAAATAGGTGGCCGTCAAACATCGCGAAGATCGGAAAATCGACAAAATACCTCAGCATTTATCTCCCCAGGATTGCGGAGAAATGGCCGACGACCTACGGGCATGGTAGAATGGCTTTGTCCTAAAAATTCCTCAACAGTGGGAGACATCGGAGGAAACATGAGATGAACATGGACGAGGAAGCAAGGAAGGAGACGTGAGACAAAGGCTTGAAACCCGATAATTGCACACTTAAAAAATTGCATATTGCATTCGGTTTATTACTGAATAGAAATTATCCTCGACGTAAAATCGCCGAAATCTATCGAAGGAAAGGAAAGAAGTTTAAAATATTCCCCAGACAAGAAGATTAAGTTTTAAAATATAGGTAAGATCTGCACCATCCATCTACAGCGCAAACGCAAGCCCAGCAACAATGGCTAGACCGAAGGACGCGGCTCCCTTCATGCCAAGCACCCTGACGCTCTCAGCGCCAGCCGTGATAGGCACGGTGGTAGGCTCGCCAGTAGGCCTGACGACCTTGCTCAAAGTCGTATCGGACCCGCCGGAAGGAGGAGGAGAGTCTGGCTCTGGGACGCCAGGCGGACAGTGCCAATGATCACCGTGGGGAGTGCACTCGCCCGAACTGCCTCCCGTGGGGCTGGAGGCGGGCGGTGTTGTCGGCTCGGGCACGCCTGGAGGACAGTGCCAGTGATCGCCGTGGGGTGTGCATTCGCCGCCCTCGGGAGGAGTATCCGTGGGTTCGCTGGAGGGAGGAGTTGTGGGCTCGGGGACACCTGGAGGGCAATGCCAGTGGTCGCCATGCGGGGTACATTCGCCGCCTTGAGACCCATCAGTCGGCTCCGCGGAGGGTGGAGTCGTTGGTTCCGGCACACCGGGAGGACAGTGCCAGTGATCGCCGTGGGGTGTGCATTCGCCTCCCTCAGGAGGAGTATCCGTAGGTTCGCCAGATGGAGGAGGCGTTGTGGGCTCCGGTACTCCCGGGGGACAATGCCAGTGGTCTCCATGAGGTTCACACTCCCCAGGATTTCCAGTTTCAGTGGGCTCCGCTGGAGGGGGGGTTGTGGGTTCGGGAACGCCTGGAGGGCAATGCCAATGGTCTCCGTGCGGAGTGCATTCTCCAGGATTGCCTGTTTCGGTCGGCTCGGACGGGGGTGGGGTAGTCGGCTCAGGCACGCCTGGGGGGCAATGCCAGTGATCCCCATGAGGCTCACACTCGCCGGGGCCAGCAGTGGTCGTGGGCTCTGAGGGAGGGGGCGTAGTAGGCTCCGGGACTCCGGGCGGGCAGTGCCAATGGTCGCCGTGTGGCTCGCATTCTCCCGGATTAGCGGTGGAGGTCGGTTCGGAGGGAGGTGGAGTGGTGGGCTCGGGCACGCCGGGCGGGCAATGCCAATGGTCGCCATGAGGAGTGCACTCTCCCTGGTTAGCGGTGGAAGTTTGTTCAGAGGGAGGCGGAGTGGTGGGTTCGGGCACGCCAGGTGGGCAGTGCCAGTGGTCGCCATGAGGTTCACATTCTCCTGGGCTGGTCGAAGAGGTTGGCTCTGAGGGAGGAGGGGTAGTAGGTTCCGGAACGCCTGGAGGGCAATGCCAGTGGTCACCGTGGGGAGTGCACTCTCCCTGGTTAGCGGTGGAAGTTTGTTCAGAGGGAGGCGGAGTGGTGGGTTCGGGCACGCCAGGTGGACAATGCCAGTGGTCGCCATGAGGTTCGCACTCTCCAGGGCTAGTTGTGGTGGGTTCGGAAGAAGGTGGTGTCGTGGGTTCCGGAACGCCTGGAGGGCAGTGCCAGTGGTCACCGTGGGGAATGCATTCTCCTAGGCTAGTAGAGGAGGTTGGTTCAGAGGGCGGCGGCGTAGAGGGTTCGGGCACGCCGGGCGGGCAGTGCCAATGGTCGCCGTGAGGTTCGCACTCTCCAGGGCTGGTTGTGGTGGGTTCGGAAGAAGGAGGGGTCGTGGGTTCCGGAACTCCGGGAGGGCAATGCCAGTGATCACCGTGAGGCTCGCACTGCCCAGGCGAGGAGGTGGTAGTAACCTCGGCCGGAGGGGGAGTTGTGGGCTCGGGGATACCTGGTGGACAGTGCCAGTGATCACCATGCGGCGAACAAGTCGCTTCCGGCGGTTCTCCACTGCTGGTAGAGCTGGGGTACGGCTCGCAATGCCCTGTAACTCTTTTGTTAACTTACCAAAAATGTCTGTATAACGAAACGAAAACAAACGGGGTGAATCACGTACAGTGGTCTCCGTGGGGACTGCAGATCGACCCAGTAGGCGACGGCGGCAGGGCCACACTGGTAGAGGTGGTACATTTCGTTATGGTGGTGATGGACGAGTAGATACTGTAGCCGGCCTCTTCAAGGACAGTCTTGTGGTAGAAGCCGTACGCCGTGAACGACCTGCCGTCACTCAGGTACTGAACGGTCGTGAACACGGGGATTCTAGTGCCGCTAAAGACCTCGCCAGAAGACGAGTAGGCGCTGTTCATCGACTGGACGAAGCCATTGTAATTGGAGACGGTGGTGTCGATGCCATAGTACGTCGACACGACCTGGCTGTTGTTTTTTTCGGTTAGCTGATGATGTCGAGATTGTGTCAGAAAGGGGAGAAGTGAGCGTCTTACCTGCACTGAGACTCGGCTCGCGGGAGGATGGGAGCGGGAGTGGTGACTGCTTGCGGCAAGGCCAAAGCGCCACCGGCCAGTAAAGCGAGGACAAGAATGTCCCCGCGTCTCTTGAATTCTGCCATAGGGCCGGAAACGAAAAACGAACGAAACGGGAATTGATAGACTGCAGTGCCTTAGAGAGGCATGCAGTGATCCACCTTCTTGTTTGTACCAGAAGCGGCTCGAGGTCGATCAAGCGGAATGCGAGATAACCATCGTCTCGAGGAGTTCTGGGTCCGGATCACCTTAAGAACTTTATACGCATCCTGCAGAAGGAAACTTCAACAGGCAAGGCAAGATGAGAAGAAACCATCAACGCCATCAAGGTGAATCACTAAAGGCCGCTCCCCTCCCCCTCATAACACTCTTGAAAGAGATTAGGAAACTATGGGCGAAAACTCTGCAGTTTCCATTACTTGGCGTGGGGAGCCCTCAAGACTAACTTCATGTTTTCTGCCCAAATCAGAGCTTTCGAGGGAACCATCCCATCTTACAATCTTACAATCTTACAAGATGCCAGCTAGGAAAACCACGCTAACGCTGCCGATTGCGGTACTTCAGCGTTCCCCTCTTCCCAAGCGGAACGACGTGACCAAAGCTTGCCTCCCGCCCACATTTGATAAGATGGACATTCCATGCAGTTGGTGTGATGTCAGATCTTGGAATCCTTGGCGGGAACATCCTGATTCGAATGCTTGCATCGGCGGCTCATCCAAACTTGGAAGGAAGTGGAATCCTTTGCTAGCCTGGGGACCTTGATGGGTGCTCCTCGTTTGCTTTTCGGATTAGCAATCATTTCCCCTCACGAGATTTTAAGCTTTCCATGCTGTGGCTTGCTGTGGTCTACCATTGGGATGCAGGAACCCCTGTTCAGTTCTTCCCACATGGTGCTGTCATGATCAGGTTGGTCCCTTTGACCAACCCACGTCTTGTAAGTGGGCACCGCTTCTGTGTGGGGGGTTAGCCTCCCCAGCCCTTCATCTCATATTGGGCACAGGAAGGAAGGAAGCCATAGATTATCTCATGCGGTCTTCCGGGATATTCCAGCCACCGATACCCTCCAAAGCAAAGCATCGGCATCACCCGCGTCCCGCGCCAAGCCTATTTTGTCCATCAGGGTTCCCCTCGCCAAGACACGACTGCTTCGACAGCGGGGAAGAACTTGAGCCTCATCTCACGATGTCGGCTTCTGTATAGTAATCACTGCAACTTCGGAGCGTCGAACCTTTGCTGGCCGACTGCCATCCAGGTTGCTAGGAAGAGTTCGTTCTTTCCTTGCTTCCTTCCTTCCGTCTTCATCCTCTCGGAGACTGGAGCACAATCGCGATGCCAAACGACAAAATCTCCAAGCGCGATGTAACAAATGCAGCGGGGAACTTCTTCATCCTGCAGGTGCTGGAGGCATTTCCTTTCGAAAATCGTCAGTCGCGATGCTGATCACCAGTTCTACGGGGGGAATCCTCCTTCTTCTTAGAGATGCCGTGGTCGGAGATGCCTCCTGCCATGCTGATGAGACTCTATGCTCTTGATCGAGTGTATAAATAAAGTAGGATGTCCTCCTCCACGATGATCGTAAAAAGAAGAGAAAATTTCAAGACCACAACATCCACCATCATCTCAATAGCCCAAGAAATCAAAACCCGGTCCAGCACAGCACAGCGCTTCCCCTTCTCAAAGATGCATGCCCTCAGTCTCCTCCCAGTCTTCGCCCTCCTCGCGGCCGCCCTCCCCAGCACTCCCTCTGACGGCCTCTCCTCTCTCGCCAAGCGCGTCTGCGAGTTCCCTACCGGTGCCTGCGACCCCGTTGGCGACTGAGAGTTCTGCTGTATCGGTTCCCCAGGCACCGACCACTGCCATCAGCACGGCGAGATATTTTGCGGCACTGGTAACCTCGGCTTGGTCTACCACTGTGATGACGAGCACTAGACCAAGGTGAGAGGGCAAAGTCCGTGTTTCTGTAGATTGCAAAGGCAGCGTTCTGACGTGCATACTGTAGGTAGATGGTCTCGTACATGAGGTGATGACTTTAAATTCTATTCGATAACACCCTCTTCGGAAATCTTAGATGGGCTGTGCTTGCTGTCAGGGTCGGGGGCGGCTCTTTTGCCTCTTATCAACGATTAGCTAGTTCCTGGAAGCATCGAATACACACCAATACACACCCAGTCTCTCTTCTTTTCTTACCTGCAGCCTCAATTGATCTTTGTAAAAATCAGATTAGATGGGTACCTACATACCTGGTGATGTCTGCCAATCGTAGTAAGGGTCTGTAGATGCAGCTGCATGTAAATCCGACACGAAAGAAAGGGGAGCTGCATGGCCTAAACCGAGTGACATGCACTTCAGCCGCACCTAGTTCGAGATTGCCCGATCCCGATCGTCGCCACATGGTTTGGTACCTCTCAAGGAGTAATCTAATCTATATTAAAAGCATTACCATTGGTGCTTGTTTAATCGAATACGTCGGCCCGTGGAGCGTCCACACCCTACTCCTTCTTCCTCGCCACCCAAAACTGCGCGTTATACGCATTCCTTGTCAACGCTTTCTCGTTAAACCCGTACACAGCCTGCATCCCCCTAACCTTCCTCCCCTCCATCGTAAGCTCCCCACAATTATCTGATGTATCCAGAAACTCGAAGCCGATGGCCTCCGCAACGATGATGATCTCCTCAAGAGACAACTGAACGAATGGTCCCGTACCATACAAAAGCGGACCAAAGTTTACCCAGTAGCCTCCAGGCTTGAGGACGCGATGGATCGTATCGAAGTAGCTCATCAGATTTCTCGCAGTGTCGATGAAGAAGTGTGTTACCACGGAGTCGAAGTATGCTGTCTGCTCGTTAAATATAGTGACAAAGTCTCCTTCAACGAGGAGCACGGAGCTGGCGTTGATGGGCTTGTCGGGGAAAGAGATCTTGCGCATCATGTCGGCGTTGGAGACGTGGTGGGACCAGTAGTCGACGAAGGGGTAGACGGCACCGGATGCGGTAGAGGGCTGGCTGTCGAGGAAGCGGGACACGACGTTCATGTACATTGACCATTCATTGCTCGTAACCTCGAAACCTGAAAAAGTGTCAGCTGGACCTTTTTTTTCTTTGTCTTTGAAACCGTGTTTAGGTGGAAGTCATTTACCTTTCAATGCCGACACGTCGTGGCCAAGCCTACCGAGGCCTGCACCAGGGAGCAAGACTTTGACCTCCTCTCCTCCATCGAACCGATCAGGAAATAATCCATCAATAGTCTGCAGGAGACAAGGAAACGCATCCCCTCGCTCACTCAGTCCCTCTTCAGACCAGTCGCGAACAAGGTGCTTCAAAGCCTGGGAGACGCTGACTTTCTCGGCAACCTTCCTGTCCTTCTCGGCTTTCTTGATGTGCTCGTCGAGTTCGCTAGGGTCTACCTCGTAGAATTCAAGCGCGGCGTCGACGACACGTTGACAGAGCCCATGATTCTCTGAGAGAAAGTGCTCCGTCTTGGTGAACTTTTGGGAATACTGAACAGTGCTCTCCAATAGCTGAGTTTGTGCGATTAGCGCTGTTGCCTTCTAGAATCGTAGATCGCCAATGCAAAGGAAAAAGTCGGGTACTGAGCATACCTTCTTTTGTGCCGGCGACACGTGCTTGTAAAAGTTCTTCCACCGCGTCACGTCCTCGATATTCCTATCGAAATACTTGCGGAAGCCGTAGAGGGCGTCAAGGAGCCTCCACCTAGGATGGTTCGCGTCCCACTTCCCGTGATTGCGGTTGAGTCTTTGCAGTAACCTCTCCTTCTCAGCCTTGTGTCTTGGCGATTCTTTCTGCTGGGCTAGGTCTTGGACTGTGAGAAAGACTTGGTGGACTTCAAGCGGAGGATCAATCTATGAAAGCGTGTCGTCAGTACGGATTTGTACGAAGGGAAGAGTTCGTCCTAGGGGTTGCAAAGCCATACAATTGAATCTACAATGACTTCGTTCGCCGGCTCAGCGAGAATCTTCTCTTGCTCTGCCCTCATCTCCACGTCTTGACCCTCGACTGGGCTCTTAGCGGCCGCGGCCGAGATCAAAAACGCTGTTGAAACAAGCTTTAGAATGAGCATTGTGTCTGGGAATTACGACTAAAGACAAGACAATACAGCCAAGTCTGAAGGAGGCAAGAACAAAATCGACCAAGAAGAGAAAAGAAATCAAAAAGTTAAGTGACAGAGAACGACCTCAGCCTTGCTTCATTTCCCCTCGACCTCCAGAAATCATGCGAGCAAATGCCGTCCACCCCGATCTAGCTTGGCCCCAAATCTCTCTCTCCCTCTGTCTCCCTCTCTCTCTCTCTCTCACGTGCGCGCGTGTGTCCCTTTGTTCCTGAGCTACGCCCTCGCTGCATTCCACCCCACGCAGTCTCGGGGGAGATGCAGGCAACAGACAGACCGAGGATGACCCCACTTAAACCCCGAGGTATCCTTCCCCCAACCAAATATTTCCCGAAATAGAAAGTGACAAAAACCCAGCATGAGAGCGCGGGATAATAATCATCTCCTGCTAGAATGGTGGTGGCAATGGTAGTGTTGGTAGTGGTAATGGTAGTGTTAGTGGTGGAGAGGGGAAAAGAGTGTGGGTGGATCTTGAGTACCCGGATGGCGCACCTCAGAGTCCCTTGATGGCCCCTTCTCCTCCCAACTCTCTCAACTATCACGAACCCAACCAAGCTTTGGAAGCTTGGCATCCAACCTCCCACTCGATATTTCCGCAAATCGTCCAATAATTCCGCGAAGCAGCTGATTGACAATGCAGGCGATCGTGTTTCCGTGACTAACAACCAAGGTAACTTTAATCTTAGCCGACCTCCACATTATGCTAGTTGAGATGCCCGCGGCATACACACGAGGTTTGAATACGGTGTATGCCCCCCTCCTCCCTGTCCCAGGGGCCCGGGATCCTTTTGATATTGCGCCATATATTGGAGGGTGTGTCCATCACGGTTGTAAACTTACCCGGTTTGTCCAATCTGGTTTAATAATAGGACGTACGGGAGGGCCAACCGTACCGAGCCCAAGAGATTGTGGGCTTGACCCAGCTTTGCGTGGGGAAGCCATACAGGTGCGCCACGGGAGGGAGGGCGGGGAGAAGGCGGTTCCTTGCTAATTTGCGAAGTGGTGTACACTGCCTGAGCTGTTGGTAGTTTGCCATCAACGATGGGAAGGGGGGGCTGTCAGGAAATCCACCCCTGCACTGCGTGGTGGTTGCATGCCTTTCCGACCCATCGAATGCAATGCTGCTAGAGTCACATTAGCTCATGTACGAAGTGCGGCCAAGAAAGAGATGCCGTATAAAGATGGCAGTCGCCTCCCCCTCTTGGCTCTGAACTCTTCTCTCTCCCACTCCCATCCGCGCATCTGATTCTCTCGTTGTCTCCCAGACACTCGTTTAACCAAAAGAAAAACAAAAAACTTCCGTTTCCCAACAAGTACACTTTTGATACCCACTCCACCACTATCCCACCACCACCATCACCATGAAGCTCACCGCGACTTTCGTTCTCTTCGGCATGCTCCAGGCCGTCATCGCCCAGAGCTTGGCTCCCTCTCCCACCGAGTCCATCGGCTGTGTTCCCCACGAAGACCACTGGTAACTATTCCCCCTTCCCCATCTTCCCCCCCAGACCTGTGGGAGAGGCCATCACGTCTGACAAAGGGTTCTTCCCACTCTTGCGAACAGGCACTGCGAGGGTCCCCGTCCCACCGAAGCTGCTCCCGAGCCCACCAGCGCCGCCCCTGCCCCCAGCCAGCCCGCTGAGGACGACGACGACCACGAGAGCCACACCGACGCTGAGGGCACCGGCCAGCTCGCTCCCTCCCCCACCGAGTCCATCGGATGCGAGCCCCACGGCGACCACTGGCACTGCGAGGGTCCCCGTCCCACTGGCTCTGCCTCTGAGGGCGGCGACGAGCCCAGCGCTAGCGGCAGCGGCTCTACTCCTTCCCAGACTACTTCTTCCATTGTCCAGGTCCCCACCGGTGCTGCGGCGGGTCTCCAGATCGGCAACGTTGTCCCCGTTGTGGCTGTTGCCCTCCTCGCCCAGGCTGCCTTTTAAGCAAATCAGCCTCTGTTGAATACACGACTCTACAATTTTTTTTGATCTTCGATGAGCTCAGGGAACTATCTTGGGATGGAAAATGGGATGGAACTTGGACTTAATACTTGTAACCTTCTTACCAACTGTACATAGATTAATTAGACCTTGTTACTTTTATGTACCTTTGCTTTCTTCTGGTATTTTATTCCTTGCCTGTGTATGACGGTTGTGCGCCCGCCGGTTGTCGATCAGAGGACAAGAGGGCTTTGCTGTGGTGACGTTTCTGACCAATGGCAACCAGGCCTGTCCTCGCCAGATTCCCCATGAGGAAATTCGGGTCGTTCTCTTTCGCTGTAGTTGGAACCCGGAATATAAGGCAGAACTTTAGGAGACTGGGCCGAAGTAAGGAATGCAACAGAGGAATTTTCTCGACTTCATTAGGTATTCACCACTTTTTTCCCTAATGCCATGACCCATTTTGAATGCATATTTCCGCATATCTTTCGACGGCTGAGTCTTACTCTATTCTTCTGGTGCTTGTCTGGCCAATGAGGAAATTGGCCTCATGAAAGTCGGGGAATGGGGGCGCCGTGACTGGTGCCTGGTGATGAACCGGAACGGAATTGAGGTCTCCTTCTATACTACAATGTGGGAAAATATTCTAAATTTTCCTGCCCGTGCTGCCCTCCGAGTAGGAAACTGAGATCCCACAGGAAACCAGATTCTTCCAATCATAGCCTACATTACCCCTAACCCTAGTCGCCATCGTTAGATTAACGAACAATAGAATCTACCAAGCCCCAATCCCCGAAGTCCGCCAAATACTTATCAGTTCATCCTGCTTATTACAGAGCGAGTATGTACTTTGTGAAACCACTGCTGGCAACGTCCCGATGACTTCGAGAAACACTGACCCAAGAGCACTGGAACCGTGTCTCATGAGTGGAGGAGAGTCCGAAGAGTTGGTAGTCAAGACACCAAACGCGGAAGGCGTTCGTGCCGGATCGTGCTGTCCGTTCCATTTCTACACGGCTAGATCACGAAACTAGACTTCTATGCGCAACCGTCAAAGTTTCCCATACAACCGTTACTTATTACTTACAAAAAATAGTAGCTAGGCGTATTCACCAGTAATAGTTGACACCATAGCCTTATAGTCTATTAAGCGGTAAGGTGGCGTTACTTAAATACAATATTGCGAGGCTATCATCATATCCTCCGCTATGCGTTGCTCACTTCTCGCAACCGGAGGCGTATCTCGCCAAGGTCTTGACAATGGCGGATGCCCCAACGACTAGCTGTCGTTGGACTTGCCGTTCTTTAACTTTGCAACATGGTTCCAGTGTTCCTGAGCAGCATCTTCCTGAATCCACCGGGACAGTGGAGAGCCGACATCGTTGAGCCCTGAAAATGTTGTATATTAGTATTGAACAACTCATCACGCTGGTGCTCGAATCTACGCACGCTCCTGATAGACTTCACGAGGAAGCTGATCGGAGAGCAGATCAGAAGACAGGTCTGTCAAAGTTCCTATACCTAATCAGCAGTGAACATCCAGTAAAGCTATATGAAGTCCTCACCCTGGGCACGCATGGACGTGTGGCTTATGTCGGTTCTTGTCTCCGCTATGGAAACTAAGATGTCACTAAGGTTTGGTGGCCCAGTTCCCATTTTCACCATGTGGATCCTCTTGAAAACGTGCAGATATTGCGTGAGATATAGGAAAGCAGCTCGCAGCAGGAGAATGAATGAGAGAACCACTTGCATTATGAAGAGTATGGTTTGGTATAGAACATGCAGCGAGACCCTATGAATAAGGAATGATGGAGTTATTTATGCCTTTCTTTTCTCCTTCTTTTGTGTATTTTATATATATATAAATATTTTTTGTCTCCTTTACCTTTCCTGTTCCTTTCCGCTACATCCACTTCGGTGTGCGGTCGCCATTAGCTACAGTACAGCCTGCTCGCCATCGACACACTGGCATCTTGAATCATGTAGGTAGTCAGTGCGGATATAATACTCCTATTCTTCCCGGGATCATCATCTTTCATGATAATACCCAATGACAAAAATGGCCCCGATGCAGTTTGCATCAAGCCTCTGCTACCCGAGCAAGGCAGTTTTGCATTCTACCAATGGAATAATTGGCATGTCCTCGAGTGCTTCAAATGGAATCGTTATTAAGAGCAGAAGCCTCCTAAGAAGAAGCGGCTTGAAGGTTGGCCAATGAGAAAAATGGCCGGATCTGCAAGATGTCACATATGCAATAGATCATAATGGACGAATCAGAAAAATGGCCCAGTCTTCCCCCGAGCCGAATAAATGGCAGTCGCTCCGTCCGCATCTGCTGCTCAGCTTTCTCCCCGTTTCCCTTCTCACTCAGCCAGCCTTCTGGTGTCTCCTCCTCCCGCCTCCCGACAACCTGTCGACGCCCTCGAGTTCACAGCTGGGAGTCCGATTCCCGAAGAGCAATTCTGAGCAAGTAGCTTTTCCTTTTCTCAACTCTTGTTAATGTTTCCACTCTCGCACTAAGTCGTGACATGATCCTAACATCTCGGATTCTACGTAGCGCTCGATTGACATCCCACGGCCCATCTAGGGCGCGATCCGGGAGTTCTTCCTACCCCTTTTCTCTACCGATACTACACCTTCGTTCGCGCGGAGCCCTGACTCCGCGCACGCCCCACCATGACCATCACAGGATACTAAATGCTCTTGACCCTCTAGGAGACGAATACTGGCTTCTCGAATGTGGTTACTATGGTCGCAGGGAACTTGACTGGATAGAGCAGACACACACACCGTGGATCAGGCTGAGCGTAGAGATAGCGTATGCTCCTCCAACGCCTCCTGGTCCCGAACGTGATGCCTCTCTAGACGAGACAGATCCCAGTAGCTCCTCCTCTAACTCGTTATCCCCTGATTCTGACATGTTTCCCATTACCCCAATGGTCATTCCTTCGACTCCAGAACGAAAATTCTGTACGCGTTGCCCGCTAGCACTGCCTGATGAGACAAGGCTCCGGTATGAACCCACATTGACACCATTGAGACACCATTGAGACACCATCGTATCAGCCACTGTGAAGCTAATAATATTTGCTTGTTTTAGCGACCACATACGAAAGAAGCATCCGAAGCCACCTTGCGGTCTTGTCAGTAAGCGTGAACCGAAAAGACGCCGATTCCAATGCCGATGCGGGGAGGTATTCCGTGAAGACAAACTCAAATATCATTTCGGGAAGCAGTCTCCCTGCCATGGAAACCATCCGTTCGTGTGTTGGCGCCCCGGCGCAGATCACCGCTTCGAGTTCACAGACAAAGAAGACTTTCTTGCCCATTTTACGAATTGCAAAGGCGCTCCAAGAGGTCGGCCTCGGGGAACAAACATGACGGAACAGGGAAGGACAGGTTAGAGGAGCCTCGATAAAGTGTCCAATGCAACAGCCAACTGGGTAGCATATGGACAGTTTGTTGGCGAGCCGTTTGCGTCTAGTTCTTCTCAGAACGAAGATCAGTGGCTTTCGAATTCAAAAAGAGTTCGCCTCCAGGGTAATTCGGCGAGAGACAGACATCGGTCCTAATAGTGTGTTGGTGGGTAGAGCAGCTGGCATGTGGTAAGCAACAGTGGCTCGTGGAATATGGGAATACGGCAGTGGCTGCCAGAGCAGCAGCATTGAATGATACATTCAAAGTTGGACCAATGGAAGAACATCGACTCCAATCCCTCCAATCCTTTTTCGATGTTTAATTTTCAATAGTGGACCAACCAACCAACATCGATCGCGGCGGCGATCATGTGCTACTGGACGGACGGTTTCTTTCCTTTTGTCCCTCGGTAGAGGGTGTTTGGGTTTTATTTCCCTCCTCGGCCACACTAGTAGGGGGCAGGGCATGCCGTTGATTGGCAGATGATCTTTTTCAAGTTGGTCGGGCTGATCAGGATCGTGTTTCCTATGACTTCGCAAACGCCGTGAAGGCTAAGCAAGGCCGCGCAACCACCAACAGTCAAGCCACAGGAGACCACATTTTCTGGTCTTTCCTCTCTGGGTTTCATTTCTACATATTTCCTCGATTATATACTTGTGAAGTTACGATAGGATAAAATATGGCAGAGACTATTCGGACTGGGTTTAAAAGGGAAAAAAAAAAAGAAAAGAAGAAGTGGTCGTTATTCGTATTGCTAGTACTCGTGCATTGTGTAACTGAGATGAAATTTATATATCGCCGGTTGATACACAAGCTCCTTATTAACAGTAACGCACCATCATGTGGATTAGGCGCAAGATGCCCGATACGAACAGGAAAACCCAGCAATAGACACCGGGATGTCTGCTAGTAAGCTCATATACTTTGCCCTCAACCTATTTATGTCGTCCTCTGTCTTCACTCCAGACTTCTTCAAATTCGCCAACTCCTCTTCGGCCTTATCAGCCCGGGCCGTTGTCTCAAGGAAAATAGCAGACGACGGCACCAACCCGTGTGATAGAGCCCGTTTCAGCTGAATTTCTCTCTCCAATCGCTGTATATGGACTCTCAAATTTGACGCCGTTTCCATTTTCTTTTTGGCTTGCTTCGCGCTGCGGAGCTTCCTCCTCAACTAGAGCAGGCTCTCTTCGGCCATTTGAATTATCTCTGACATGAGGTCTATGACGCGCGAACCGATGGCAAACTTGGGCCGCGCTCCCCCAAGCTCAGCTAATAACACTTCAAGGTATCGCTGTAAAGGCAATTCCCCCTTTTCCTTAACCGTAGGGAGCTTCTCCTTCAGGCGCTGGAGCAGGCCGGTCTCACGGCGCCTAAGGCTCACAAGCGCCTCTAATTCGTCGCTGCTCCCAAATGAGATCCTGGCTTTTGGGAAATAGTTCTTGAGAAGCTCAAGATACGATGGAAGAAGGCCCTTCGCGAGTACCGCTGCCAGGAATTCAAGGCCTTTTTCGAAAGTAAAATAAAGCACAATCATCAATGCGTCGTCCTCGTTCGACCACCCCAAATCTTCCTGCGCTGTTGCTAACTTTCCCTCAAGCGAGTTATCCGGCGAGTTGCAAAGATTCTTGCTCTTTGCCAATCTTCTCGCTCGGCGCCGGTCGAGTTGTCGCTGTCTCGCAGATTCCCGTTGATGTTCGGTCTTCTGATTTCGATTGCCTTGCGCCTTTTATCATATCTGTGGCCAGCATTTGAACAGCTCCGGGTATATCGCTGGGCCCCTTTCGCCCATCGCCATCCTCTAACGTGGATAGGGCATCGGAAGTATTTTGGGCATCCGTCTTGTAGACGATGATATCGTATCCATGCATCTTTGCCCGTAGTGCCTCGCGAGAAGAAAGTCGTGCGATGCTTCTCTGACGATACTTTCGGAGATTTCTTGGTATGCCGTGAAGCGAGAATACTCTCGCCTCATAGTGGCCGGGACAAGTGTGGGTTTTGACGGCGTAAACGTCTGAGTGGTTCTCGTGCCGGAGGAGCTTCCCCATCACAACTGTCGACGCGCCATCCTCCAAGGTGATGCCACAGAGAGGGGGCGGATTAGCATCGCCCACGAAGTCCTCAGAAGCCTCAAGTACTTTGGGTGAGCAGGCAGCCATGATCGAAATCCGCGAAAAGTTGCGATGATAGTTCCTCCACAGAGAATATCGCCCACGGAGATACGCATCCTAGAAATATACTCTTTGTTCTCTATGATATCGATGCTCGGACCGAAGAGAGCCTTTGGCAGGAGGATAACGAGGGCTACAGAGTAACTCGCCTCAAGCCTACGTAGCGATTACTCTAATATCGGCCGAGTATTAGAGCCGACGTATAGAACAAATTGGTCTTAAATATGGATAGCAGTAATACTTCTAACCGTAGATAAGGGGCATAAATAAATATGACCGATGAATGACAACAACTTTACTTTTAAAGCAGGCATGATCCGCCGCGATAAACAGCGCTTGAATCGAAAAAAAAAAAAAAAAAAAAAAAAAAAAAAAGGTGGTATTTACACACGCAGTATTTACAATCTCTGGGACTATTACCCTTCTCTATGTTTCTAACCATCCTCGTCTTAGAGCAAAAGATGTTAGGATTGAGGCGGCTGAGGATTGATGGCTGAGCCGTCGAATATCAATGGGTCCAGGTAAAAAAATATATCATTGCCAATACCCGTTGTGTCTGCCTCGTTTCCGTGGAAAGCTTGCTGGAGAGCCGCAAAGTCGAATTCGGTCGGTGAAGTGGGAGCGTCCGAGGTATCGGGAGAGGTACATGGGGGAGTAGAGTGGGGAGAGGATTTGAAATTGGTGTACTCTACGGGAGGGCCTGGTGAGGTGGGGCTGCGCTGTAAAATGGCAGATTCCGGACCCAGTCTCTGCCGCTTGTTTGCCCTTCCGCTGCTCGCCCCTCCGGGCTGACGCCGGCGGAGGTTAGTCGGTGTCTCTTGAGGAGATAGGTTCGATGGAGGTGGTCTCCTAGGGGTTACAGGTGGCGGTGTGGGCAAGGAGGTAGTTGGTGGCGAGGCAATTCGTGGGAAGTGAATGGCCCGAGTCGAAGCAGCTAAACGTCGACTGGCTGAATCTGGGCCTCTGCTTTGGTTATTCTCGTGCTTCATCGTCCGGCATAGTTCGTCGCATCGATCCATGAGAGCTCCGAGATGGCCTTCAACAAGGTACGCCGCTCTCTTCATTAGCTCGGAAATATTAACGGTCCGGCTCCCATCGTTAGACGCAAGAACCATGTCTCCAAATTCGAGCTGGTCGAGGGTCGACTTGTATGTGGGCCCCAACATATACTCTTCCATACGATCGGTAAAATATTTTTCCAGCATTTCCCTCACTGGTTCTAATTCGGGGATCTGTTTATGCCTCCAGGCTTGTGGTATGCCTAGTTCTCGGACGAGGCCGACAAGGAGTTGGGGAGTCGACTGGTACAGGAACTTGGCGAGTTCAAAATGCTCTAGTGGAGCTCTGTATTCTATGGGATTCGTTAGTTCCTTGCGATGCTATCGGAGCGGGCGCGAAAATATGGAGGGTTTTAGTATTTACCGAATGGCACTGTTTTACTCTCAGATTTCAGGACGAATTGAGTTAGTTCTTCCCACTGCTCCTCTGGTGAGCCATTACCGACTTTGGTTGGCGGAATACTCCCTACGCCGACCGTGAGACGTTCAATTGGCTTCCTTGGTTGACATGATACCTCGGCTTGGGCATGAGCATTGAGACTGTCATAGCTGGTAAAGCATGCATAGCAACGCTGACACACTTTATCGTCGTGTCCTGGTCCTGCCTGCAGTCTATGCGATTTCTTTATATGCTCACTATCCTAGGTCATTAGCAAGCAAATTTATGGATGACCATGTCGCCACTACTTACCGAAGGGCTGGAAAACTGGAGAAGGCGGTCATAGAGCAGGAATAGCTATTTCGGACGTTGAAGCTATAGGGGTCTTTTATACGAAATGGACAAGACAGGCGAAGTGAAGAGCCTTTTTGCTGAGGATCCGAGTCTCCAGGAGGGTTCCGGTCATCCGAATTATCTCTCGGACTTCGTCCCGGACGATTGCCGTCGCCGCCTTCCCTCGACGACCCCCCCGTTCTACCCGTACCACAAGACCCCGAATGGCCTGGCTCTCTCGTTTGAAAATTGCCATTCGTTGTATTAGAAGCCCCACCTGTATTGCTCCAAGGGCCGGATTGGAGGCGCTGGGTGGGCACCGTGGTTGATAGTTGCTCTCCGAAGTCGCCAGTCATTTCAATGAGGTTGTCCATTGCGAAGGGACCTATGGCCACGCTTTCCACGTTCAACCCGAATAGGTAGTGGTAGCTGAAAGCGAGAATGACTCTCAGCTTTGTCTTATAGTCGTCTTTGAAAGCATCCGCGTTTATACCATATGCAATCTTGTCTGCAAGCGGCATTACCTTCTCCTCTTCGTCCGATGCCGGCACGGCTAGATCGTAAGGTCCGCCGTGGGAGTTTGCAATAGTGGGCTCCTTGTCGAATAGGGCGCTATAATACTTTTGTAGATGACCGACAAGGCTGGGTTTAGACTGTTCGTCGGTACCTGCAGGCTGCTTTCCGAGCGGGGCCTTGTGAGTTGCCTTGTGAGTTTCCAAATGTTTGCTGCCTGATTGTGGAGGGACAGAGTCTTCCTTTTTCAAATACTCTGTTTTGGTTGCTACTGAAACGTAGTCATCAAACGACACCACTTCTTTCAGCTCGGGGACTCGTGCTGCTTCGTGTGCATCGCGAATCGTGTTCGCCTCCGCATATTCATAGGTTATGTCAATAAATTTGATCAAGATATTGTTGAGAAAGGACAAGAACGTAGGTGGAAGATTAGATTTCGCCCAAGGCTCGTCGTTCATGACATGATTGACTTGAGCCTGTTTCAGTTCAAAGTGCTCAATGGGTGGAATAAAGCCTGCCAGCCAAGGTCAGAGGGAGGGGGGGAACAACTCTCAATGGATATTTTACCGGCCATCTCGAACCTTGAAGTATCACCGACTCTGTTGGAAAGAGTACAGACCATAGTCCAACCCAGGTGTTAATCGCATCTTCCTCGCTTGTGGAATTGAGGATTCGAGCAGTTTCGTCGCTGATGCCGTCAGGATTTCGGCAGTGTTCTGATAGTATGTGATGTCTAGCAACAATAAATTAGGTTAGTATAGGTATTAATCTTGTCATAAGGGCTTAGAACGAAGGTCGCGTCAACCCAACTCACTTGACATCAGAGATGGTGGGATATCCGAACATAGAGCACGCATAGTGGTCTCTGATGTTGAACTTATACGGGTCGTGCACTCTATATGGACAAGGAAATAAGCTCCTACTAGAACGATTCACCTTATGGTCGTCGAAGAACCGTTCTGTGGACTGGGATAACTTTGCACCGGCTGATGAATATGAAATTGGCGGAGAAATCGGGGCCAGTTTTGGGAAGGCTGTTGGAGATGCCATTGCTGGAGTGGGGATATCTTAGACGGAGTCCACTCTTGGAGCTCGGTACGAGCAGCGTATAACTCCGGGTAGCGGGACGAACACAATCATCTAGTAAAAAAAAAGAAAGAAAAAAAAAAGAAAAAGAAAACAGAAGTCAAAGCCCCTGAATCGCAGCCAGCACACCCTTTTTAAATCCTGACCACGTCGGACGAGGGAACCTCAAGTGGGAGAGGCCCGGAAAAAGGTCTTGGCTGTTGGTTCCATTAACCGCCGGGACGTGTGGCTGAGCCGGCCACGGCCCTCTTCAAGAGTGGCTTCGACCCCTTGAACGTGACTGCTTGCGCCCTCTCTTGCATACAGAAGTGGCTGTCCAGTTTTATGCGTGGTACGTATGCGGAGGTGTTTGGAGGTGGGGCCAAAACGGCTCCGTAGATATACACCGTATAATAATACGGTAGGGTGTTTGTTGCGGAGAGGTGTCATTTCAGTCCACGCGTGGACCGAAATGACATCTGGTGGCGTCGAGTGTCAAGTGGGGGGCGAAGTAGTGTATACTAACTACTATGTTGCTATCCTTCACTGTTCAATGTTATTCAAGTTTATCAAGTTCTTCAAGTTGTACCAAGTGTTATTTAAGTGTTACCTAAGTGTATCTTTACAAGTGTCCTACTATTTTCATCACTTCCATTCCGTAGAAAGTGTTGTTTCTTGCTTTGTTCAATTCCCGTTGATCAATGAGAATCCGACGTTCCTGAACCTGTTGAAGACTCTGTGCTGCAGTTCTCGACTGGTTCGGCTCCTGACCATTGTTCGACCACTATCTCTTTTGTTTCTCTTGGCAATGCATCTATGCATCTTCATAGCAATAAAACATGAGAGTTAAGGCTTCGAGGAAGTAGATAAATTAAAACGGACAACCCATTTGTCAATACGGGTCCTGAAAGGACGCTCGTAATTTGTACGGTGGCTTGTAACGTTAGCTGCACGTGCAATCTCACACTCCGATTGGCTAATAGCCATGACCTGAAACAAGGTCATGCCATTCTAAATTACTTTGGCCTTAATTCACTTATATTCACTTTCATGGCCATTCTCGAGGTCTTGACCTGTCAAAAGTTCAAGGCTGAGAAAAAGGTTATAGAAACCTCGGAGTTGACAACTGCAAGAACGCTAATCAACTCAGGTACAGCCTTAACGACTAGGCAGACGCCTATTTGAAGATAGAAGAATAGCATAAGCTGAAAACTAGTAAGCCGAAACCAGACCTGGTCTGGGGGACTCTTGGACTATAAAAATCCGCCTGTTTCCGCAACTTTTCTCAACCCGATTTCTGTTCTTCTTAACTCAACTTCTCTTTCGTCCCTTCCCCAAGTCATCGGTCGATAGCTTACCATTGCTTCTTATTCACATCTGTTCTTAACTTCCCGTCTCAAGTTCCTTGTCTTGTAACCATCCAGTTCTTACGTCCAAAAATATATTTGGTCTCGCCCCTTCCCAAAGTGTCACTTGCCTTTCATCACATCAACGATCCACGATGGCCACCCATCACACCAATAATGGAATCAATGTTATCCACCAAACCTTCAACATTCATGTATACCGTGGAGCCACTTCGTATGTTTTGTTGCCCATATTCTGGTCTACAGTGAGAAGAGCCTGGGATTTAACTCTCCTATCAGTCATCTCGGCCCGAACCCTCCGTACGGCACAAAAATTATGTTCTCCATCTCCCCCGATGGCACGATGATGTGGAATTTCTTCCCGCATTTGAATACTGCTATGCCAAATGGCGCATCTCCCAGTCATGCACCAGGCTTCCCTCCGTCAACCTCGTCCTCAGAGGGTTGGGGTGAGCCGTTGACACCTACGTCTATAATCTAGAACCCCCTTTGTATCATCCAAAAGCATTTCCGTCTTCCACCAGGTCTGCCTCTGTCTACCAAACGCCTTAACGTGGCAGTAGGAGGTGGCCCATGCTATATGGATTGTGTGTGCGCCGCTCTCGATTTTGATGATAGAACAACGGGACTCCCACTGGGAGGAGTGAATCTTGATCTTATTTTCTGACAGTAGTTTGTTTTGTGGTTTATTCGATTTCGTTTTTGGGTATATGGATGGCAATTTTGGCCCGCCTTGGGCGCCTTCTATGCGATATATAAACCCGTCTCTTCTTTGCAAAGTTTTCTTTTCGGGTGCAGCAGAGTACAGGATACGGAATGAGAAGTTCGAAGCAGGAAAAGAAGAACATATATATATAGTGTAAAGGAGTTAGCAAGTATTGAAATAGACCTTTCTTATTCGGTCTGGCTTACCATCCTGCAAGCTCGTTTATCATACGTTTTGGGGTATACGTGCAGGCGATCTCTTGGCAGCCTTGATGACCGTCGCGAATCCAGCCGCATGTAATAAAGCTGACTGTTGGAGATGTTGGTTTACATAAAAGAGAATATAGTCAATCATGGTGTTTGGCATAACAGCCAATAAACTTTTCGCAGCTCCCGTACAGTATCGGAATCATAGCGCCAGCATTTATTTGAAATTCCTTTAGCTCTGCCTGCGATTTTAGTGATTCGAGTTTGACGACATTCGCTGGACTTTGTTGTGGCAGGTTTCGTAGCGAGTACCTTTGTACTTAGCACTGACTTCCGCTGTACTTTACTCCCCCACAGGCCCGTATGGAAAGGGGCTGTATCAAGTAGGTAACTGTTGTTTGTCTGCGTTCCCGATATAGCCGGTTCTTACAAGAACTGGAATTGGGACTAGATTCATCGAACTCCTGGAATACTAGGAATAATGGGAATAATATCGGGAGTCTGGGAAGATGAGAACGGGAAGATGGGAATGGTAATATTGGAATGTACGAATGCTGGAATGTGGGAGTGTGGGAATATGGGAACACACGAGAACCCACGGGACAGTGGGAATATGGGAATATAGGAATGGGAATGGAAACACTAGAAATACTAGGAAAGGCCCATGCCTGGCAGGGTTGCGCGCCAGCAGCCCTTCCTCGAAAAGCTAGTACAATGCATCCTCAAAAGGGCGACAGCAGCAGGCGTCCATGTCGTATTCAAGTGTCAGAGGCAGCAGACAAGCCTCTTGAGATATGTCCAAAGGACGAGGAGGGGATTCCGAAGCCTTTGGTTGTCTCCGAGAATACAATTAAGATGGCATGTCTTGTAAGTTTGGTGCTGTTGGGAGTTTTAGGTCTCTATATCTCGATAAACTCTGGCTAAGTTAGCTTTTGCATCCTAGCCCTGCATGTACGAATACCTCGACCACCTCCGCAGATGCCAAAAACGACTGGTGCGTGTCAACCAACGAAAGACCCGACTAAACACCCAATGTTAGACTCACTAAATCCTCTTTCCTTAGCCGCAATGGGTTATCATCGAACATGCCGCTACCATGGAGCATCCTCGGAGGGCCGGGCAACGAGTAGCCCAGCCAACGACCATCACACTACAGATTCACGACCATCGCACTGCCACCGTCTTCACTGAGCTCGTGGCCCTCACCGCGGGTCTAGATAAGTCGCCAACACATCGCCGCATTAATAACGGTGACGAGAGGCCACCGTCACCGCCAACGACTTGCGCTGAGCACGGAAGTTCGACTTTGTCCAACGAAGCGGGTAGTGGGCTCATGATGTCTTCTTTCTACACGGACGTGGGATATGACCACATAGAAGACATGGATTTGAGTTGGATTTGAGGCTTAGAATGGATTGACTTGGAAATTTGGTTCACGGTGATGGCTGGGTTGGAAAGGCTGTGGTTCGAGCTACAAAGTTCCGATTCCCTCAAGTTCTTGTTCTCTCCGAACCGCTTCAAGTGAATGAGATATTGATAGTAGGTTATGGATGCCTTTATGAGGATCCAGTAGGCGTAGAACATTGGCTTTTGTATATGGATGTAATGAGCCAGGCTCAGACGCAATGCTTGATCTTAGTATCTATATGTCTGCCACCCTTCCTTATGCCTTTGATACCCATATACCGGCGCTGTTCTTTCCACTCATGCTGATACCGAACAAATGGTTAGAGTGAGTAACAGCATACTCCCGCGGAAGCTGGGACCACTGGGGCTACTCCCGCAGCAAAACATGGACGGAGAGCAGTCCTCGTTCGGAGATGCGGACGAGGTTCTAGTGCATAGATGCGTGACTATTCCTCGCAATGATTACCTAATACCCACGGCCTTCCCAGATATCGAGGTGGTGTCTTTCATACACAATCCCCAGCTCCGCGCCCACCTTATAGACACGCCTGGATTTGACGACACAGAGCGATCCGACGTGCAAGCCCTATTGGACATTTCCCACTGGCTTAGCAGCTCCTTCAAGGATTGTACTCGTCTCAGCGGGATCATATTCATACACCGCATCTCAGACGTGAGAATGACCGGGTCGGCCGTTCGTAACCTCGTCATGTTTAAGAAGCTCTGTGGAGAGAGGGCCTTCTAGTCTGTCGCACTGGCCACTCCGATGTGGTCCAAGGTTACACCTTACAAGGGCACGAGGCACGAGGAGGAACTCGTTTGATCAGACGAGTTCTGGGGCGTCATGTGCAAAAACTGTAGCCTAGTCCTTAGATACGGAGACACGCTCGAGTCGGCCCGCGGCATCGTAGAGTACATCTTATCCCCGGAGAGGGAAGTCACGCTTGACATTCAGGATGAGATTGTCAACGAGCACTGCAAGATTGGGGATACCTCCGCCGCGATTGAGCCCAACGCTGAGATCATCCGGGAACGCGCCAGCCGAGCCGAGACAGAGCGTCTCCAAACTGAATATCAAAGAGAAATGGAGCGCCAGCGTCGACGGAACAAAAAGAAGTTCCGCCAAATGAAGAAGAACCAAGATGAAATAAACAGGCAGTTGGAGGAGCAAGCTAATTGTCGGAGAAGTAGGCATCCCCATACCCCTTGAGCTAGGATCGAATTGCCAACGCTGATGTTTCTACTATCTTCTTGGACAAAGGTTGGCAAGTTCTTGATTGAGTTAATGGATGCAATACTTCCTGATAATGAAAGTGATGGTGATGGTGATCAAGAGGGATTGAGATTGGGATAGAGTGGGCCTGTAAGATAGCTGGAACTCTTATGGAGTCTCAACATTGAACTCCCGATTTTATAGCCTGGATGTGTTACACTTGAAAGCCCACTGCTTTTAGGTTTCCCCTTGTCCCTACTTCTTTAGTTTTTCTTCTTCGTCTGCTTCCCCAAGTTCATTAAGGTATCAAAACGTTTTCACGTTATTGTTTTTATGCGTCTGCCGCGGCCTGTTTCCTCCTCTCCGCGCCTTTGCCTCGCTCTATCTTTTCCATTGAAGACCCCCTTCTCTACCCAGTACCCGCACACAATTATTGGCCTAGAAATAAAATTTGTTAAACCGATATCGCGGTGGCCGACGTAAGGGAGGAGGCTGACCTCCGCGACGCATAGGCGACTACAGCAGCCGGGTCGCTGCAGACGCTCTCTCCCCGCTGAAGCGAGCGTATGGCTGCTAGCTCCGTATAGCCGATCGGCTCCGCTACCTAGCCGGCCGTCCGATCCGGACTGCTTTCTGGGTTAATTATTCTCGTATTATACAGGCTACTCCTACAGTCCGGGTCGATAATGGCATGTCTGTCCCCCGGGAAGGACACTGACCGGGTTCTGATGCCGTCCAAAGTGGGCCCGGTCGAGGCCGGCCCGGCAAGGACTCGGCTCCGCTCTCCAAACATACCTCTCGTCTCACCCTTGTAAAAAAAATGTTGGGTCTTCTGCACGGAATAATGACGAGACTGTACTAGCGATACACCCGCAATATGGCATCTGGGGATACTGCATTGTCTGACAAGCCACGGACTTTACTCCGTACAGGCATCCGTGATGACAATGACAACGACCGATTTGTGAGGATGATCATCTCATCTGTCTAGAGCTCGCGCAAAATCCATCCACCACTAAACGATCGCAAAAGATGCAGATGTCGAACATCGTAAGATATCCTAAGAGCCACAAAGAATTGCCCCTGGCGGAACTCCACGATGTTCCCACAATTGATGGAAGCAGAGTGGGGAAATCCGAACAGAAACAGATTATAAATCGCTGAAGTCTCCCACCATCATCGACGTCATAAATTTGCCCTGGTCCCTTGCATCACGACGACAGCGCTGAACCACTCCAATCAGCCCACCACACACCCACCCGGAACCGCCCCCCCAAAATCTCAACCACAGAAACCAAAACCCGGCACACAAAACGCCCTAAAAAAAAATGGCTCCCGTCAACCACGTCGCCTACACCGCCCCCATCAACCCCCCATCCTCCACCCCCCACCTAACACTCACACACATCTGGCCCCTCCTCCGCCGCAAAGTCGCCCGCGCCCAAGACTTCGTCCCCGACGCCCTCGTATCCACCCGCGTCCTGTCCCGCACCACCGACGCCGCAGGCAATCCCGTCACGTCCCGCGAAGTCACCTTCGCGCCCGACAAGGGCGGCCACACCATGCGCGAGGACTGCGTCGAGCATTACCCGACCATGGTGGAGTTTTTGCAGCCCGGGGATGGCGGGCGTGTGCAGAATATTGTTAGTGAGGGAGCTGATGGGGAGTTGTACATGACGTATACGTTTGAGTGGAAGCATCCGGAGTTGGAGGGGGATGGGGAGGGGTTGAGGAGGAGGTTGGAGGTGGAGAGGAAGATGGCCAAGGTTGCTGTTGAGGGGACGATAAAGGTTATGAGGGAGATGGTTGCTGATGGGAGGTGGGAGGAGGAGTTTTAATGGTGATGTGAAGGGCCTCGACGAGGAGAACGCATGGGAATGATAGAAACGGAGAAAGGGGAGACAAAGAAAACATAGATTTTTTTTTTGTTGGATCGTAGACTGAGGAGGATTCTGGCCGATACCCAGCAGCAAAGCGAAGGAAGTGGAGGGATATCCGTCTTACGACTTCATCCCGGACCTGTTTAAAAAAAAAAAAAAAAGGGCGATGCCCAACATCACGTTCCAAACAGATGGCTCTACTTTGCTCGAACTTGAATTAAAACCCATTGTCTACCCTTTTATATCTCCCATCGCGCCGGTAAACCAGACCCATATTAATCTATCTCATCTCTAAGTCATTAACCCAACCGAAACAAACCCAAACAATGCATTCTATATTAGTTCACCTCTATTATCCCCTCGTCTTTCAGCCCCAATTTCATGGTAGACGAGTCTCCCGAGACGTCATGGAAGCCCCGGAACACCACCCATCCCTCTCCCTAGCATTCCTCACAGCGGCCTCCACAGCCGCCGTAAGATCCGCATGAAAGTACGGCCGATCAACCGCATACACCGTCCCCAACGCCGAATACTTCACCCCGCCCACCCTCTTCTCCTGCGCCTCCACCTCCACCTCCTCAATCTCAATCCTGTCCTCATCCTCAACAGTCGTAACCGCTCCACTGCTCGATGGCCTCAGATAATTCACGCACGCGCCCTCTTCGCGACCCAATCCCCCGAGGGTATACACAGTCCGGAAGTCCGCGGCCGGGTTCTCGTCGCCAGCGTCGGCGGGGTATCCGAATCCGGAGATGGCGAGGGCTTTCCGCGTCCAGCGGTTGTAGACGTTGGAGAAGTGCCATTCGACGGTTTCGGGGGCGGCGTATTTGTCGAGGGATTGGCGGAGGTGGCGGAGGCCTTGGATGGTGGTTACGTCGAGGCGGTTGACGGCGGAGAAGTCGAGGACGATGGCGCGGAGGCAGGGGCGAGGGTTGTCGGATTCGGGGTCTGTGTTTGGTTCGCACCATAGTCGGTCCTGGCTAAAGTGTTAGATGAGAACTTTGGAGAGAGTGGGCGGAAAATCTATTTGCTTACCGAAGGGTGATCCAGCTTCTCTTTGGTGGTCCTCCTGGTGTGCTTTTCGATGTAACTCTTGAGATTATCGATGTGGTTCCCATGATTGGTGTAGTTGAATCCCTCGGGGAACCTGTAAATAATAACGCCGGGATACGGGGCCTTGACCTCGACATTCGGGTTCGATCCGTCCTTCCTATCGAGTGGCGCAAAGATATATCGCGGATTGTCATCCTGCTCAGCAGCAACACGGGGTCCCGATGGCGTAGGCTTAACGTCGGGGTCGCTCTTAGTCTTCTCCTCTTCATCCCGCGTCTGCGTGACATCATAAACCTTGACGCTTCCCATAAACTTGCCGTTGCTTCTCGCAATCCCCAGAAGCAAGACAACGGCCGAAATCGAAATCGTCACATACATCGAAATCTCAAGGGACGAGAAAAAGGCAACCACAACACCGATGACCCAAATGAAGAGATCAATCGGATTCATTCGCCAGTATCCGTAGATTGTCGCGGGGGTGGCCACGAGGTTGCTGACGGCGTGAATGATGAGAGCAGCAAGAGCCGCCATGGGAATGTAGAAGAAGACGCCCGTGAGAACGTACAGTGCCAAGACGAGAAGACCGGCGCTGAAGAGGCCCGCCGCGGGAGTCCGGACGCCGGCCTTGGATAGCACGGCGGATGCACCGAAGGAACCGGTGCAGGAATATCCACCGACGAAGGGACCGACGACGTTGGAGGCGCCCTGGGCTAAGATTTCTTGGGAGGCGATGACGGTGTAGTTGAACATGCGGCCGAACGACTTGGCGATGGCAATGTGCTCGATGATGAGAATGATGATGATGGCTGGAAGCTCAGGAAGGATGAGCTTCACTAGGTCACCGGACAGCTTCGGGGGGCCAGCGTGACTGAAGCCTACACGGGAAATTAGCAAGGGGAACAACAGCAAGAATAATTCAAACGGAACCGACGGAGCGTCTTGGTTTGCCTCCGTCGGCCAAAGTCCGCAACCGTTCCCCTTCAGTTATAACGTACCGACTTCAATCTTATTGACCAACCGGAACTTGGGATTGTCACGATGATTCCGGTTCACAAGGAAACTAATAATCGTGTAAAGAATCATGGCAGCAACCTGTCTCAAAGACGACGCAGCCTCCCACAGCCTCTTCCTAGACGGCTGCCTCTTCGCCATATGAGCGAAAAAGTCCCGCACAATAAAGAGCAAGACGAGACAGGACACGCCGATGGCGGAGTCGAGTTTAGCCTTGGGGAGGGCTTTGAGAGTATTTCCGAGGACGAGGTAAGGGGACTCTCGCGTGTTGATGCCGGGGATTCCCAGGCAAACGGGCAGCTGGGTTAACATGATGGTGATGCTGGCGGCTGTGACGAAGGCGGAGATGGGGATGTAGGGGATGAATTCGATGACCCATCCGAGGCGGAGGAAGCCGATGGCGAGCAGGATGAAGCCGGAGACCATGGATACGGTTTTCGCAATGTCTTCGGCTGAGTACTCTCCGGGTCTTTCCTCCTGAATTTTCGTTACAATACCTCCAACTAGTAGAGAACCAACAGCAGTAGTCTTGTTGAACAATAGGCAGTCAGTAAGGGCTAATGTAAAAGAGCCGGTACGGCAGAAAAGGGGGACCTTACGCCGATGACAATATCCCTCGAGGTCCCAAATAGCCAGTACAAGGCTGCGCCAGAGAAAGACGTATAAAGACCAAACTCGGGTGTTAATCGAGCGAGTAGAGCGTAGGCCATGGCCTGAGGGACGACGACGAAGCCCACAGTTATGCCTAGAAGCAGTCAGCCAAAACGGATCAAAAGAGAAAACAAGAAGATTGGTATGCCCCCATCTTCCAACACCTACCAGCAATGATATCTCCTATTAGCCATCGTAGGTTATATCGAGGAACCCACCCCGCACAAGGGAACAGCTCGCGGAAGTACTGAATCACTCCCGCCTTCGTCGGCTTCAATTCTCGCAGAACATCTCCTACTGTGGGCTCCTTCTCGATGTATATGTCCGCCGGGGCCAACTCTCTTCTCGCGTCCTTCTCTAGGTTGTTCGTTATGCGGGGAAGTCGTTTATCGGGTTCGATTCCTGTGACCTTCGAGGCCAGCTTGAGAATACGGCTTGAAGCCATGATGATCGTGGTGTTTCAGGAAGCCAGTAAAGGCATGGGAATGTGGTGATGAGGTATTGCTTATCCTCGAGACCGGGTAGGGAGATGTCGATGATCGTTGGCTTTATATAGTATGGGTGGCAATGATAGAAGCTTCGGCGACGTTTAAACTCGGGATGCCAAGAAAGCACAGGATCGGATCTCGGGACACTCAAAAAGAAAGCAAGATGATGTCAAGAGGGAGCAGGAAGAATCGTGATCCGAGGGGATGGAATGAGATCTAATCGAGGTTATATATATCTGGAAGGGGTATGTGGGTTGTATGCAAGGATGTAGTGTACTCGTATAGTCTACGGAACTCCACAGGAAGACGCTGGAAAGGGAGAGAGAAGCTTAAGAACAAGAACCTTAAGGACGATTAAACATACAGTATGTACAAGCAGGATCCATCAGGCGAGCAAAGACCAGAATCGAACCCCGGAGTGACCTTGAGGGAGCTAAAACTTGGCGTGAGAAAGGTCCATCCCGGCAAAGCGCACTTCCGCGTCTCCCCGTCTTGATCCTTCCTCCTAATGTACTGCATAAATTGTGGTGTTAGTGGACGGGTGGACCATGAGGGCTTTTGGACCCATCTCGACCGACGTCGTACACTAACCTACCTATCCTGTAAGAGTACCGAGCAGGGGTACAGCGCCCTCCTTCTCTTTTCGAGGACATCGACAACAACCGAGTCCAGGGCGTCATTTTTCACATCGCGGACAGGCCGTTGCTCGTACAAGCCAGGCCTTTACGAAGCACCGTCATGTGAGGAAAAAAGAAAGAGTCTTTCCCCTCAGAGGCGGGCACATCCTCACGAGAGCCGCACCGCTCCAGCTCCGGAACCATTAACTTCAAGGTCCCCGGGATCCATTCGCCTAAGGGACGGGAGCAGTAGAAAGTCCACGGGCGGCTCGCGCTAGGAAGTCGGAGGAGGGAGGGGGTGACATGACGTTGGCCAAGTTGTACATCCACAGCCTCAGGAACTCGGTCTCGGTCTCCTCTCCACAGTCTCTCTCAGCTATCCGCCATCTGACAAGAGAAAAAAAGAGGCTTGTACTTCTCAGTGTACTTCCTCGAAGTCAAAGTCAAAAGACCGGAAAAGCGCATGCGCTACCCCGGGGCCTGGAGAAAGAGAGGGAACACAAACAACGCACCTTGCCTCCCTTGGAGATAGCGGAACGACCCAAGTGGATCCAATTCGTCCCATTGTCCTGATTGTCCTGATTGTCCTGGCCCCCTTAGCCCTTTTACGACGTTCGGGGGGATCCACTGCTGCATCTGTTGCGTCCCCTGCAAGTTTGTGGCTGCAAGTCGTGCATATTTTCGTGTTTAATAATCAAAAATTTCCCGCCTTCCCGCTCTTTTTGGGGGGTTTTGGGGGTGTGACGGTGCCACCCTCGTTTGATTCTGGATCCCTTCGTCGGGAACCAGTACCAGGGCCAGACTTTGCCCCTTTCGGTGTGAGTATTTTTTTCATTTGGGTTGACACCGCCAATCCCCGAAACCAGCACACCAATACACTAACACACCAATCGCCGAATGTGCTGGGGTCTTGGTCCCCGGCCCTGGCTGTGGCCTTTATCGGCCTCTCTTTGATGGGGAGTTCATTCGTTGTTTGCCATCGGCAGATGGTAAAAACTGGATTTAGGTCTATGTCTCGATGCGGCAAGACTTTGACAACGAATTTTTTTCTCTTTCTTGCTCTCGTGGATCATTTTTTAACTCCTTGGGCTCCCGGTTGGTAGAAGTCGCCGGAGCGTTGATCGAAAGTCGCCGTCCTTGACGGAAGTCTCCGAGAGCTTCGCAAATCTAACACGGCCAACTACGAAGAGGAAGACCAATTCCAATGTGGTATGTAGTGTATTCCAAGAATATTCTTCACAGAAAATTTAAATAAAATGAAAAGATTTTGTTATGCTTGTCATTCAATTCATTGATGTTTCTCATCCCATGCAATGGCCATCTGCGCACCCCAACATTACCGAATCCGAACCAGCGCCACAACGTCGGTATTGTGTATCCCAGGTTCAACATTTCTCGGCCCCCCCCAAAAGCGGTAAATTGGGCCATCCAATACAAATACAGCAAAAAAAGTTGCACCTTCCAACTTGGCACCCTCAAAAAGCCAACCAAGAAATATCGGTGACTCACGCCCGCCCCGAGAGCCGCCTGCCGTTATCACAATTGTGACCGAGTTCATCGGCTCCACATTTTGCGGCTTCACCGCCGCGCCTCCCTTGACTGGAAGAGTCCGTGTCCGGAAGGAGAGAGAAACGTCTTTTGGTGATCCAATCACGGGACGAACTAGGGTCAGGTGCTGCAGGTTCCTCTCCCATATCCAGACCCCGACACCCGAGTGTCGGATGTCGTGTGTCTGTGTGTCTGTGTGCTGCGAGTGTTGTGTTTGCGCAGCAATATCTCCTACTCTTTCTTTGTTTCTCCAATGAGAAAATGATGCCCATCATAAAGTGGTGGGGCATGATGCTGAGCGACTCTCGGGATTCCATTTCGCCCCTTTCCTTTCCCAGACCAAAGTGTCGAGTAGACAGACCCACGCGGGCTGTATCTGGAAAAGGGAGGGCGAAAGAAGGAAAAGTGTAGAGCACTAGTAGTACCCCCCATCGTCCCCTCCATCATCGCCATCATCTCCATCTCCATCCCCATCATCAAAGTACGCCTCAGCATCATAATCCCCCGCATCCTCATCATCATATGCATAATCCTCCTCCTCCTCCTCTACAGCCTCCGAGTCATACGCCCCCTCCTCCTGGCCCCCTTCCTCACCACCCATTTCCCCAAGCTCCAACTTCTTCATCAACGCCTCTCCACCCTTAGCCCCGTTCATCATAAACACCTCCTCGGCCGTAGGCAGCGACGTCGCCGTGCTCAGCTTCAATTTCCTATCCCCTTGCGCCCCGCCCTTCTTCCTGGGTCCGTCGGCGCCGTCGAGCGTCTCGTGCAGTTCGGCGGGGAACATGCGTTTCACGTAGGGTCGCGAAGAGAAGTCGGGGAGGTTTCGTTCGTTGGGTTTGAAGCGCGAGGACCATGTTTCGACGGCCGTGAAGACGTCGGTTGTGGCTTTGCTTTTGACGGCGTATTGGCGGTTGCGTTGTTGTTGGTCGTAGATGCGGCGTGGGCGGGTGGGGTCGCGGAGGGTGTGCTTTTTCGTGTAAAGGGGGCCTTCGTGGATTTGGCGCTGGTAGAGGAGGAAGTTGGTGAGGTAGCGGGTTTCGGCGTCGGTTAAAGCTCCGGCTGGCTTGAACGCGTAGGGCTAGTAGAGAGAGAGAAAGTGAGTTAGTCGGGAACAACGAGCCGTCAAAGGAAGTAGAGAAGAGGGCGAAGGAGAACGCCGCCTAGAGAAAACAAACCGGAAAGGTCTCCGAGGGTCGGCCGTCGACTTCATCGGATTCCCAGGGTAAAGGGGGGCCGCTTCGTCCTCCACGACTTCCTCCACGACCGCCACGGCCACCACCTCGGAAACCGCCCCGGGACATGGGAGACTGCAAGGGCTATCAGCGATCGCGATTTCGTCTGCCGTCTCGATTGAGCGCAGGATGGTGCTATCGAAGGATTGGATTGGTTCGCTTTTGTCTTCGATGGTCAAAGTTGGCGCCCGAAGTTTTGTCGTTGGTTGGAGGATGTGATTCTTCACTTGTTCAAGTTGTGCTGGCAGCAGGCTCAAGGCTGCGAAATCGAGGTGAGGTGGGAAAAAAAAGTTGGAGCAGGCAAAATGGTCGGCGCCAAGGCGTGACTGACATCAGCGCCCCGCCTTCAGCCTTAGCACAAGGCACCTTCCGCCGCAGGTATTTTAGCTACCACCACCGTCAAACCTCACAAACCTCACAAACTTCGCATCTGGACTCGGTGCATACAAACCAAACTACTGCATTAGCTGCCCTGTAATACATAATACATAGTGGGCATCCTCGATGATCCCCGTCGATTCGCTCCGCCTTAGGAAAAAACAAAAGCAATTCTCGAGATCTATAGCGCAAGGTGAAGCAAATAGCCTTAGATGTGTTAATGGGATCAGCATTCAAGTTATCTCCCAGATACAACACAGCAAAAATCCAAAAGTGGTATTATACAGTTGATACTCATCAATAACATTGATTAAATCCCTCCCCCGAACACCATCAGAACAACCTGATCCTGTATTTTATGCAGCGCAGAGGCTCGGCCTTAAAAACCTGAGAGCCGAGTTGGAAACAGAGGGGAAGAAAACAGAATGCTATGAAACGAACAAACATTCATCAGCTCTGTGTAACGTGTAGAGGGGAAAAGAAAAGGGAAAACGCAAACACCGTACAAAGACTCTAAAGAATAGGATTAAGGAACGCCATTTGCAACTTCGTCAACGCCTCCCTCGTCTTCCCCACCTCCACAGCTTGCCTTATAATGGCATTCCTCATATCCACCAACGTCGCTTTCATCTCCTCAAACGCACTATTCGAATTCCCCATATGATTCTGCAGCGCCGTAAGCTTCTGGTACAGACCCCCCTCCACGTTGGGCATATGCTGCTGAATCTCCGCCAGATACGCCCTGAGCTTCTGATCCCGCTCGCTCAGCTGCGCGCACTGCCTGTTAAAGAACCCAATGAGATCCGTCTCGTTGGGATCGGCCCCGAAGCTCGTGTTAGCGCCCGACGCCGTCCAGAGTCCGGGGAGGTGGTAGTGCGCGGGGAGTTTGAGGTTCTCGACGGCGCGGCCGACCGTCTGCGCGTCGTCGATGTTCTTGTTGCTGAGGTTGCGGAGTTCCTGGACGGCTGCGACGTCGCCTTCGAGGACGGCGCGCTTGACGAGTTCGTATTTGTTTTGGAGGTAGGCTACGTCGACGGCCAGTTGTTTGATTTCTTGCTCGTGCACGGGCGTGTAGCCGGCGATCTCGTCTTTCCACTTGCTCACCTTTTGGATAGCGGCTTCGATTGTGGTGATGAGCGCTTGGCCCTCCTTGGTTAGGTCGTCGAACTTGGTGGAGCCCTTGACTTGCGTGAGGTCGACTCGGACACCGGGGGCCGCTTGCTGGACACCCTGTTGTTGCTGGCCACCACTACACGCCGGAAAAGTTAGACCGGGTTGGAAGTTCATGATGGTCTGTTTCATGCATCCGTTGACGATATCCTGCTCATAGGAAGGTCAAGGGGAGAAGGGGAGAGAGGAAACGGGGATAAAGTGTGGATGACATACAGGATACTACCCGTCTGGGCCTGCTGAGGCTGCCCAAACAAAGAGCTGCCTTGCGGCTGAGTAGTCGTCGTAGCGCCAAACAATCCACCCGCCGGCTTCTGCTGCTGCTGCTGCTGCTGCTGCTGCGCACCTCCAAACAGCGACGACGCCTGCTGCGGCTGCGCCGCCGTCGACGCTCCAAATAACCCACCAGTCTGCTGAGGCTGCTGAATCGCAGAAGTAGTAGCCGCACCAAAGAGACTCGGCTTCGCAGCCTGTTGCGTGGCACCCCCAAAGAGTCCTCCACCGCTAGGCTGGGTCGTCGCTGTCGAGCCAAACAGCCCACCGCTCTGCTGCTGTTGCTGCGTCTGCTGGCCGCCGAAGAGTCCGCCCCCCGCGGGTTTATTCGCCGCCGCTCCAAAGAGTCCGCCCGTCGTCTGCGCCTGGGGGGCAGCCTGCGTCGAACCGAAGAGACCGCCTGTTTGCTGGGGTGTGGTCGTAGTAGCGCTTCCGAACAGACCGCCCGTCGCGGGCTTCGCGGCGGTGCCGAAGAGGCCACCGGCTGCGGGAGCCTGCGAGGCAGCGGAGCCACTAGAAATCATTGAGCTGTTAGTAAACGGAAAAAGATGCCGGATACCGTGTTTCGTGCCATTAAGCGGTGGTAGTTTGGGGGCAGTTCGAAGAGCCAAGCTATGCCGGCCAACAAAAAGCTTCGCAAACGAGGTTTCGGCAGGAGCTTCTTTGTGCCTGGATGCGGAGAGAGAGCTACGTACAATAAATTTGCAGCACCTGTGTTGATGGACAGTCCACCAGGACCGCTGGCCGATCGCGCGAGCGCCATTTGTTGAGACGTGTGCCGGGTTTATTATCGACGAATATCGGCGGGGTATTGGCGATCAATATTTCGTCGGGTCGAGGAGGAAAAGGGGGTTGGAGGTCGGCGGGTAGAGAGGATTGCGCCGCTTTCAGGCTGGGAAAGTTTTACTCGTGGTGCAAACGCGAATGAGTGTGAGCTTGGGGATGTTTTGCCAAACGTCAATATTGCCAGGGAGCTGGTGGCTTCCGAATAAGGAAGGCGGTGAAACTTTTTCGTTCTCCACGTGTGGCAACAGCTGCAAGGCTCCGGAAGTGGCTGCCCCGCAAAAGCCTTGATCTCGACTTCACAATAGCATCAATCCAAACAAAATATGCCCCAATTTGAATTTTTGTAAACTCCATGCTCTGCCTATTTCAAACTGCAGATGACCAAACAAAATGAGTGTGGATGAATTACTACTTAAAGAGAGGCGAGAATATTCTGTATATTACCTTGCCTCGTGCTGTAAATTCCAGGCCCAGTCTAAAAAAGGGCGGTGTCGGTGGTGCAGCATTGACAACAGCTGTCAAAGCCTGACATGTGGGCAGAATCACAGCTCACTTCTTTATTGACCTCTGCTTGGATTGAAGCTCTTCCTCACCCACCTGCACCACCCAACCTTGGAACCTTATATCCCCAAGGTGAAGATCACACAACATACCTTTCACCATGGAAATTGAAGACGAAGATGATTTCTACTCCCCTGAGGAGCCAATTGTAGCCCCTACCAAAGATACTGATACCAGCACAACCAAGCACCAGCCCGCCACCACAACCACTTCACGCCATGACGATGAGCTTGAGGAGGGCGAGGAGGAGGATGAGGGAGGTGTAATCATTGAAGAAGATGAAGATGACTCTGTAAGCCCATATTTCACACTTCGTGATCCTCTAGTCAAATTACCTGCTAATTCTTTGGCTAGGATGTCGACTTCATCATAGAAAACAAAGATGGCGAGAAACCCCCTCCTCCCCAGTACGTCCCTTCCAACGTTCTTCCCATCCCTTACCATTTCTCCCTACCAAGTAGCAGCTCGTTAACACTTTTTTCTGCCATGATGAGTAGACAATCGCGATACAGCGATATTAAGAATATCCCCCAGCGCACCGCGTCGGGCGAAATCGCGTCGAAGCCCACCCCCGCTAAGGAGGAGCAGAAGCCGCTGCCCGTTCCCTCGGCGGACCAGGCCGCTGCTGCTGCGAGTAGTTCGAAGATTAACATCAATGCCAATCCCGTCTACCCGCCCGCCGGCAAGCCCATCACTCAGGTCAACATCGACACTGGTAAGATTCTCCTCCATTCTTTCTCTCTCTCTCTCTCTCTCTCTCTCGCTGCCCCTCTGCCCGCTTCGCTTCCTCCTATTCTAACTCCCTCCTTCCAGACCTCCCCGACAACGACAAACCCTGGCGCAAACCCGGCACCGACCTAAGCGACTACTTCAACTACGGCTTCGACGAATTCACCTGGGCCCTCTACGCCTCGAAACAAGAAACCGTCCGCGCCGAATACAACCCGGAAATCATCGCCGCTAACAACAAGAAGATGATGGAGGACTTCAACAACATGATGATGATGGGCGGAATGGGCATGCCCGGCGGGCCCGGTGGGCCTGGAGCTGGGCCCGGAGCCGGCGGTACCATGGCGGGGATGCCTGGCATGGAGGGCATGACGCCCGAGATGCAGCAGATGATGCAGCAGATGATGGCGTCGGGGATGGATCCGAGCCAGATGGACCCCGCGGCAATGGCGGCTATGTTTTCGGGGATGCAGAATCCCGGTGGCGGCGGTGGTGGTCAGGGGGGCCAGGGACAGAGTTATCAGGGCTTTGGGGCGGGTCAGGGGCAGGGTTATGGAGGGTTTGATCAAGGCATGGGTGGAAGCGGTGGTGGTGGCGGTGGTGGACGTGGAGGTTTTGGAGGGAGGGGCCGGGGTCGTCGCTGGTAGAACCATGGGAACTTCCAGAGGCCTCTTTAATTTTTGTTTCTATTCCTTCTCTGAGATGTAATGTGTGATTGGGGTGTAGGTATCGGGTGGTTTGTAAGGGACGGATGGGACTTTTCGTTACCTAGGGGCGTTAGGGTACAAAAACATGGCCGATAAGGCGGATATTTCAGAACATCATCTAGTTGCAAGCTGCCGAGTCATGCTGCCAAGTTGGGATGATGGGTAAAAATGTGCTTGAGAATACGTCTGGTTTCTTTTTATTTTCTGTCTGGCACAATGCCCGATAGGAATCATACATGTAGCTTCCCTTCGTTCCATCCTCTCGCTAAAAAGTAAAACCGTAAGGAACCTCCCATCTCATAGCCATTTACCCACTTCCCTGACTTCACTTCATCCTAACTCGGCTACACCAGCACTCAGCCCCCCGTCCCAACCACACTCGTAATCCACTCCCCAAACCCGTTCAACTCCTCATCAGCCTGCACCTCCCTCCTCAACTCCCCCACCGCCCTAACAAGCGCCGTATCCCCCCTCTTCCCCCTCACAAACCCCTCAAACCTCGTCCTCGTACCCGGATTGCTCCCCACAGCCTCATACACGTCCCTGAACAGATCCTTGTAAAACTGCACAAGCACGAGATACATGGCCACGTCATCCCTGTCGACCATCTCGATGGCCATCTGCAGCAGGGTATTCGAGTGCGCCGGGCGGCGCGGGATGGCGGTGCTTACGAGGGCATCGAAGTCCAGTCGCGCGACGCGTGGGAGGAGGGCCAGGAGGCGGTTCTGCGAGAGGGAAGCTTGACGCTCGTCGTCGTTGTTGACGCAAGCTTCGACGATGGCGACGGCCGATGGTCCGCGGAGTACGTCGTCCCAGATATCCAGCTCCGGCTTCGCACCCGCGTCCCCGTTCACCATGTCCTCCAGGGAAAGCCGCTTCGTGGCACCTACGAGATCCGTCCTCGTCCCCTCCAGAAGATTCAAAAGCGCCTCTTCGCCCCTCTGTCCCACTTCGACCGCCTCGGCGTCCATCCACCTCTCCACCAGCGCATCGACCACGTCCCTCCTCAAAACGGCACTCACGCCCTCTGGCCCTTCCGCGCGCTTGATGATCGTCATACCCAGCAAGTTGGCGGCCGGGTGAGGGGCCGAGAGCGCCGCGATGAGCATGGGCGGCGGGATGAAGGAGAGCACGGCGCGGATGGGCATGCGTGTGAGGAGGGCGTCGATGAGGGTTGTGACGGTGCGTACGGAGTCGTCCGTGGTGAGGATGGGGAGGGTGGCGATGAGGTGGGTGAGGAGGGTGTGGTAGGTTTGCTGGTTGGTGGGGAAGGGGAGGTTGTAGAAGGCCAGCTCGTTGAGAACTTTTTCGAAGAGTGGCTTTTCGAGCGGTGTTGATGGGTTGCTGGTGATGGCGTTGAGGTGGTCGAGGAGGGGCGGGATGCCGAGGGAGGCGGGGTCGCCTTGAGGTTTGTCGTCGGCCATGATGGTGCGTTGCCTCTTTTTTTGTGAGCTTTTGATTTTGGGTTGGGTCGTGATGGATGTATGTGCAGATTCGGGATTGTTTGAGATGATTGATTGGTATGATGATGAGGGTGAGGTTCGGTGCTGATGGAGTTGAGTGATGAATTGATCAGGCGAGGGTGAGAGAAGTTGAAGCAAGGTACGGTGGGGGAGGGGTCGTTCTTGCCACTTCAAGTTCCACCAGCCTGAGTTCTAAGACTTGAGACCAACGAGGAAGGCACTTGACAGCGACTCGTAACACGATGGTGCCTGCCTCCATTGATGTTTGTAAACTACGATCTGGTCATTCCTGCCTCAACAATCTTTTTACAATTCATCAAGGGCTCCTTCCTTGCCAGAATCGTAAAACATCGTATATTCAAAACAAGACTGAGAACTATGAATTACTCACCCAAACATTATTCCTACACTCACTCTTCCCAAGACCAATTTTTGTATCTCTATTGACCTCGAAATAGAAATAAGGCACTTGCATTCCCTGCATTCAATGCTGCTCATCACGATAGCCTCAGTGATCAGTGATCAGTGAAAATGGAAAACAAAAAGAAGAAAAGAAAAAACATCATCTTGTCACAACGACACATCAAACTTCAGAAAAGCCTATGATATCCCTCCCCCTATAAAAATTTAATAAAAACACAAACAATAAAAGAAAAACGGAAAAAACCATCCGAATCCCGTTACAAAGTAAGCCCAGGCCGTTTATACAACCACACACACACATTCGAACACTCTACCCACCCATCTCTTAGTCCCTCGACACCGGCCTCCTCATCCTCTCCGCTGCATCCACCTCCCCACTATTCCCGCTCCCCAACGTAACGCTCTCCCTCCTCTGCTTCTTCGTACTCATATCCTTAATCCCGAGCCCCACCTCGCCCACCCTCCGCAAAACATGCAAAACGGCACTCCTCAGCTCAGAATTAAGATCCTTACCCACGAGCTCGATGACAAGCGGATAAAACTCCTTGAGGTTAGCGCCGAACGCTGCGTCGGGGAAAGATGCATAACCCTCTAGCACATCGACGACAACGGGCCGCCACGCCACAATGTTGCGATGCTGGCTCTCCTCCTCAAGCGTGACGTAACTTCCAATGACGTCCTTGCAGAGCGGCACGAGCGCCGCCTCGATATCCGACCGGCTAGCCTCGCGCTCGGGCGCCGTGTCGGCGAACATGCGGAACAGGATCGAGATGTAGGTGGCCGCGCTGCCGGACTCCTGCTTGAGGAGATTCGGCGGCTGGGCCATGAACCCTTGCCGCCAGAGCTGCATGCGGAGCTCCTTGTCGTTGTTGAACCGCCGCGCGAAGAGGTACGACTTCTTGAGGAGCGCCATGAGTCGGAGGAGCTCGATCGACGGGATCTGGACGTACACTGCGTCGTTGCTGAAGAGCTCGTTAACCGTCTCGATCATGAGGAGGTGGAGCACGCAGCGCGAGATGATACGGTTGAAGAACCTCCTCCTAGCGGCCGTTACGACAACCGGTTGCTGCTGCAGCGTAGACGACGGCTTGTAGTCTTCTAGGGGCTGCGCTTGGGAAGCCGACGTGGCCGTTGTGGGAGGAGTTCGCGAGTCTTCCTCCGTCATGGTGCTCTTTGCCGTCTTCGGCGTCGGAAGCGGCGAACTACCCGTGTCCGAACCCTCGTCATTATCGCCACCATTAATCTTGAGAGACTTCTCGTCGACGTCCTCGCGGGCGGGGCTCAGCGCGCCGGGGAACGAGGAATGGCCATTAGCCACGGGCGACAGAGTCGTCGACGCGTCTAGCGTGGCGGCGAAGAAGAGCTCTTTGGCCGTCGTGCGCTCGAAGAGCTCGCAGAAGGCCCCGACGATCTGCGCCCAGTGCTCCGGCGAGAACTTTTTGACATTCTTAAGAATCAGTTGTTGCAGGCAGTTGCTACCGATGCGCGCGATCGTGTCGTTCTCCTGGCATATGCAGAGCGCCAGGAGCTTGAGGATCCTGTCGAGCATATACTCGAGGGCGTCGAAGAAGTGCGTGAAGAGCGTAATCATGTTCCGCAGCGCCTGGATCATGGTCGTCGAGAGCCACACCGAGAGCTCCTCGTGGTTAAGCGCATTGGACATCTCCGGCCTGGACCGCAAGACCATGAAGATGGGTTCCAGCTGCTGTCTCCACAAGATATCCCAGAACTCGGGGCCAAAGTCCCCTCCGTACCGCTGGAGCGTTTCGAAGAAGTATTCGAGCGCACTAGACCGAACCTCCAAATCCTCGCCCGTCATCAATATGTCGTGGAACGCGAACAGGACGGGGAACCAATAGCCTTCCTCGACCGAAGTGCGACCTTGTTGAAGCTGCATCGACGGCGACTTGAGCGCAGCCTCCGCACCCGCGGCGAGACTGTTGAAGTTTTGCGACAGCGGACACTCGGGCGTCTTGAGCATCCTCGGAATGATCGACTTGAGCGCCTCGAGAGCCTGCAAGCTCTTCTTCTGGAACCTGGTGTTCTTGGAAAACTCCGTCAAGCACACAATGAGATCAGTGAAGGCGCCCTGTGATATGACGACGCCGAATTTTGTCTTGTAGATCTGGCTGACGTTCTCGTACGCTAGGCCGACGATGCTTTCGTAGGGTTCCCGCGCCGCCACGGTAAAGACGCCAAACATTGTCCTCCAGCCGGACCGGATGTTGTCACCCTTGGCGAGGATCATTTGGATCAAGCACCGAAGGACCATATCCTTGACGGCGACATTGTGCGAGTTGGACAGCACGTGCTCGAACGGCTTGAGGAAGTCCTTCTGGAACTTGAAACCGGGAAGCTCCTCGATTTCCATGAACCGCATCGAAAGCTGCCGCAACGAATCGAGCGCAAAGAAGACGATGGTCGTGTTGTTGTGGCATCCGACCCTGTTGAAATGCTCACCGAGGACGTCCCAGATGTTGGTCCACTCGAATCGCACACGCGTCATGTTGTAGTAGCTGATCTCGACAATCTTTTGCAAGCTGTACGTTCTAGGAGAATCGTTGGAGCCTGACACCTTGATCTCATCCCAGCTAACCTCCGTGAGAGCGCGGGCGAAGTGAACAATGGCATCGCCGGAAAGATTCGCTGTGTTAGTAAATATCCTGTCGACACCCTTGATAACCTCGTCCGACCTGCTCTCCAGCGCAATCTCCACGGAGAATCGATTGGAACCCGCAGATCTCGCCCGGCTGCGCCGCTTACTCCTTACCGAGGCAGTATCACTATCCTTTGGAGGAGGCAAGAAACGCGCCTGAGAAACGTCGGGAACGGCGCTCTCGTCAACACCTCCCGAGATAAGTTGCAGACGGTCCAGCTGGCTGATGCACATGAGAATGTCTTTCCACGACTCGTTGAGGAGGTTGCCCTCGGTCTGGCCCAGCTCGAGAAGGACCTTGAGAGCCTCGACGTTCTTCGCGTGGATTTCGTGAGGGTTGTTCAGATTAGTGGTGTTCTTGATCGCATTGATGAAGGCCACTCTAGGTGTGGATAGGTCGAAGAGGCACGCAATCTTAGTGGCCATCTTCATGCCGTCGAGGCAAAGCTTGTTGATCTCGATGTTGTGCGTCTTTTGCATCTGACTCGAGAGCGCAGAGAAAAAGGACATCCACGTCACGTCAAACATGGAACCAACATGCCTAAAGGAAGTCGCGGGGATGAATCGGGTACCGGCCTTAGCTGCATTTCGTCGCTGGTTCTTGAACAGGGTCTTGAAGAGGTGCTCCGACCTCGAGGAAATCTCTTCGGACTGCTGGAGATAAGCCTCCCTGCGAAGATCGCGACCGACATTGGCGAGGGCCTGTCCGAGACCGGCGGCGATACCACCGGTTGGTTGCGCGGGGAGCGTGCCGGCAGCGGCGGCAGCATCCCGTTCGCTCTTGAGCACGATCTCGTTGCCCTGAATCTCTTCGTAGATGCCCACTAAATAATCGTCTGGAAGATCGGCGTTGTCGTTGATGCCCCTGTTATTCTTGATAAAGTCCTCCTTCGTCATTCGCTTCGCGACCTTGTTGCTGTGCAAGTCAGTGTTAAGCATAATAACTGAATACGCCAAGACGTAGGCGGTGTCAGCATTGGCAAACGCATTCGGGTTACCCATGACGTATCGGTTGGCAAACTTCAACATGAAACGATCAATCTTCTGGGCCTCGCCGGGTAAACGGAAAGACTGGAGGAACTGCCTGAGCGCGTCCACGAATCGCTTCTTGGCAAAGTCCATCTGGTCGACGAAAGAGTGCATGATTTCGATGTTCTTCTGGTCACCCTCGCCCAAGTACTCGCCGATCTGCGCCTTGTCCAGCCGCTCGTCGTTGAGAAGGAACTTTGCAATATCCTCGGGGGTATCGCTTGGTATGAAGCCTTGCTGGATGAGCAGCTTGATACCCCTCTTGGGCTTGAAGTTGAATTGGTTAATGGCGTTCGTCATCGCAGTCTTCCTCGCTTTGATCTTTTCCAACTGTTCGGGATCATCCTCAAGAATGGGCGTGGCGGGGTAGCTTATACCGTTCCCGCCTTGGGGGGAATCGGTCGTATAGATGGATGGGTCTATCGACGCGCGGGTATCATCCAGAGATTGTCGCCGTTCCCCATCGCCGCCTATGGTTCGCGAGGCAGCATCTGGCCTCACCGACGCAGACCAGGTAACGAGCGACCGTAATGCTTCGACGAGGGCGTCCAATGCCACACGTTTCATGGTGTATTCACGCGGAATATCGGGCTCGGTCTCAGTTAGTGGAGCGATTGTGGCAACGGTAAGCGGAGGCGGCAGGATCCCCTTCACTTGCCATTCGGCAGCGGATGGGGTCCTCGCATTCCGCTCCTCGTATGTCTGCTCTTGGATCGTGCTAATAGACACGGGCGCCGTAGAGAATTTGGATAGGTCCTCGATGATGGTTTGGAATATATTGTTGATACTGCCGTCGCAGTCATAGTTTAGGAATATTTCGACTAGAGCTCGGGGATCTGCACAGAGACGACCTAAGATGTTGACGACGTAGAGCTTTTGGGTGATGGGGGCGGTTCGCCGTGCGAGGAGGGCGAGGTAGATTTCGTTGAGGAACACCTCGATCTCTTTCTGTAGACAGGGGGTTAGCAACGTCTCCCGTCGAATGAATCGGAAAGTGACGACAAACCTTGAACGGCGCACGCATAAACTTGAGCATGAGCCAAAACAGCTCAGCCGTTACGTCGAAGACCTTGTCGACGGCACAGGCGCCGTTCCTCGTAATGGTGAGACAGAGGTAATACTTGATGGCTTGTAAAAAGCCTGTAAACTCGCTGCTCTTCGAGTTCTTAATCTTGCAAAGTGGGGAGGTGAAGACATAGATATGGTTGTTGAGGACGGTATGGATGAGGTGGAGCGAGAGGAGCTTCGAACGCATAGCCTGGCCGCGAATATCATAGAGTTGGTCTGGGGGCAGGACCTTAGTGGCAAGGTTACAAAAGGCACGGAAGACGAGGTAGGCATCCCGGATGTAGACCTCATCTTCGGCATCGAGGCTTTCAGGGGTATCCTCGGGTGACGAGGAGTCGCCAATAGATTGCTCGGACACGGACCGGGCACTCCGCTTGATGGTCTTGAGTTGCGTAACCATTGTAGGGCCATCGCCCATGTGGGTATCGTCGAAGCTCTTTCGATGTTCGAGATCCTTCAGCGTAAGCTTCGTCTCGCCTTCTCCACTCTCGGTAGCAGCGTCAGTCGACCCATCAGCAGCGACATCGCCATCTCCCATCTCGCTTGCGTCGTCACGGAGTGTGGACTCGTTGTCCTTTCCGTTGGGGGTCTCGGGTTGCTCGAAGGTGACATTGCTCGAGTTCTGCCTTAATTTCGAAAGGTTGATGCGCGCTTCCTTCATCTGCAGGCGGACTTTGACTCTCTCGAAGACTGTGCCAACCATCTGGGTCAGTGTGCCTTGAGCTATTTGCTGGTTGGCCGTATTCCTTGATAATAGGAACACGTTGTAGATCTGGCGCACTGTCTTGAGGAGACCGGCACCGTGGACGACAATCTTGTCATTCAGGACGGCGGCGAGCAGGGACTTGACGATTTGAAGCTGGATTTCGACGGCAGTAGTCTCGCCCTGGAAGCAGTCACATATCGTATCGATCGCTCGCTCGATCAGGGGGGCCCTCGCGGCCGCGGCAGCACCTCCATCTTCGCCGCCTTCATCTTCTCCACGTTCTCCTCCACGGGTATCATTGTCGATAGCGGTAAAGTACGAGTAGGATATTAACTTCCCGATACAGTCTAGAGCGGTGGTGGTGAGCTGGACATTGGAGGATTTGGTCGCGAGCTGCAGCGGCGCAAAGACGACTTCTGGTTCGGGAAGTTGTGGATCGCTCTCTTTTATGGCGGATATGGCGGCCTGGGCATATTCGGCTAGCTGCTTGTTCTTATGGGCTTCCTTCGAGGTGGCTATGGCATCCAGAGAGGATACCACAAACGAGATGGAGCTCATCGGGGAGCGCGGCAGAGGCGATGGGCCATATGGGATGCAAGGGGCGTTTGGGGGAAAGAGGGAGATTTAAGCGGACCTGTCCTCTTGTGAACCGGGTCGACTAGGACAGTCGGAAGAGGTTGGGGGGTTAAGCAGACAGTTAGCGTCTCCGGCTTTATCTGAAGAGTTTCGAGGAATGACGAGTCGGGATGCCCAGAGGTTGCTTTTCGAGGCCAGTATGTTTGCAGTTGAAGCCGAGGCAGGTGAACTTAACACGCTTCCAAAAAATCCAGGTTGCGACTTTCCCTAAGATCGAAACCAAGTAAGAGCACGCACGGACAGTCGACGACAGCTGGGCTGAGAGAGCCTTACTTAGCCAGGTTATTGGAAGGACAAGGAGGTACGTACCCCTTGTCAACATCGATAGTTTGAGGAAAAGGACGCAAGTACAAGTACAAGAAGCTGGACTGATAAAGTCAAAGTGCAACAGAGGGAGTGTACATTACTACAAGCTTATGGCTCAATTAGGGGTACCATCCCTAGATTTCCAGTGTCCAGGGAGGAGCTACAGGGGTCCTCGCTTCCTCACTGCGCATTTGCCCCTGAGTTGATTGGAATGAAGCCTCAAAACTCCACGTGTTGAGTTCTTCTGCCTGAGGCCGTGAAACAATTCAACAGCAACCTAGAGGTCAATTGATGCATTTCTGCTGATGTAATAATACGAGCTCATCGAAGGACGACACAGGCCGCGGCTTGATAAGATGCCGAAAAAGAATTTTGGTATTTGAGCTTAAATTACAATTGAAACTTCAGTCAAGTCCAGGTAGACATTGAAATACAATCAGAACCCTCCTTAATACGAAGTAAACTCGCCATTGTAGGCACAGGCAGAGTCCAGGTAAGCTCGAACTCGAAGCATCCAAGCGGACCCTCTTCGGAACTTCGGACCTTGTACCTTTGTACCAGTACCTTCCCAATCAGCTTCGCATTGTCAGTTTCCCTTCGGTTTTTGGCGGGACGACAACTCTTGCCCAATCAGGACTAGCGTCCCAAAGCTTGCACTTGGCCAAGTTGCTACAAAGCGATTCGGAGCTCAACGGAAAATGGGAAAACCATCGTCAGTGAGGAAAAAAAAATAACGGCACGCTGAACCAACCCCGACCTTCCCCCCATACCTCATCACGTCTTTCATCCCTCAATCCTCGTTTCTCTGGGGCAATTCATCTCCTTTCTGCCTATTTTCTTCGTGCCTTTCTCTTCGTTAGTCCATTTCCATCCCATCCAGAGGTCTCCCTTCAGACTCGTCGTCTCTGGTTGTTATCTCCCTCCCTTCCGCAGCCGGCCCCATAAGTAGCTCGCGCTAGCTCTCCACAACCTCACAACCTCACAATGCTCGGAGCTGTTTTGCGAAGGCGGGCGCTTCAGCCCAATGTCCTGAGATATGGTCTCTCCTCGCAATTGATCCGATGCTACGCCTCGTTCCCTCCTCACACCCTCGTCAAGATGCCCGCCTTGTCCCCGACGATGACGGCGGGAAACATTGGCGCTTGGCAGAAGAAGGCTGGTGATACCATTGCCCCTGGTGAGGTGCTGGTGGAAATCGAGACCGATAAGGCTCAGATGGATTTCGAGTTTCAGGAGGAGGGCGTCATTGCCAAGCTTCTAAAGGACTCTGGTGAGAAGGACGTCGCCGTCGGTAACGTATGTCATGGCACTCCCCATCATCAGCTCTATGTCTCCACCCCTTTGCCTTCAGTTTAAGCTAACGAGAAATCTACTTTTGGTACTACAGCCTATCGCTGTCCTCGTTGAGGAGGGAACCGACATTTCCGCTTTCGAGAACTTCACCCTTCAGGATGCCAATAGCGAGGTCGCTCCTGCTGCCCCTGCCGCTAAGAAGGAGGAGCCCGCACAACCGACGCCCGCCCCCTCCGCCGAATCCGCCTACCAACCCTCGGCCGCCGATGAGTTGACAACTACCTCTGGTGGAAGGCTGCAGACCGCTCTTGACAGGGAGCCCAACATTGCTCCTGCTGCCAAGCGATTGGCTCTCGAGAATGGAGTGTCCCTCGAGGGTATCAAGGGAACCGGCAAGGGTGGAAAGATTGTTGAGGAGGACATTAAGAAGGCCATCGCCAGCGCGGCCGTCTCTGTAGCTGCTCCCGGTGCCGCGTTCGAGGATATTCCCGTATCCGGCATGAGGAACGCCATCGCCAACAGGCTCAAGGAGTCGGTGCAGACCAACCCCCACTTCTACGTGACCAGCAGCATCTCGGTCTCGAAGCTCCTCAAGCTCCGCCAGGCACTCAACAGCTCCGCCGACGGCAAGTACAAGCTCTCCGTCAACGACTTCCTCATCAAGGCCATGGCTCTCGCCGCGCAAAGGGTCCCCGCCGTCAACTCTAGCTGGAGGGACGGCTTCATCAGGCAATTTAATTCGGTCGACGTTTCCGTCGCTGTCGCCACCCCCACTGGCCTCATCACCCCCATCGTAAACGGCGTCGAGGCCCGCGGTCTCGAGTCCATCTCGTCCAAGGTCAAGGAGCTCGCCAAGAAGGCCCGCGACAACAAGTTGAAGCCCGAGGAGTACCAGGGCGGCACTATCTGCATCTCCAACATGGGCATGAACGACGCCGTCGACCACTTCACCGCCATCATCAACCCTCCTCAGTCCACCATCCTCGCCGTCGGCACGACCAGGAAGGTTGCCGTGCCTGTTGAGAATGAGGACGGCACGACGGGCGTCGCGTGGGATGAGCAGATTAACGTGACGGCCAGCTTCGATCACAAGGTTGTTGATGGTGCTGTCGGTGCTGAGTGGATCAGGGAGCTCAAGAGGATCCTCGAGAACCCTCTCGCTCTTATGCTATAAGAGAGCAACCGGGGGTTTTCCTCTTGGGTGTGTTCATCTGTTGCAGGGTGAGGGTCGGTTTACCGTTTTTGGTCGACCTCATTTTGTAATAGAAACGGGGAAGGTATGGAAACGGGACGGAACGAAAACCATTGAGCGGAAGCACATGTAGAATTCCATAAAGGAAGGGAAAGGGTGAAACTATGAGAGAGGATGTGTTAATATTGACAGCAGCGAAGGGGATATTTAGATTTTTCAAACTGGCCGGTGGAAACGGGAAGAGGGACCCACTGCTCCGAATCGGGGGACCTCGCCACCACTTCTGGCATAGTAGAGTCCTGAACTTCTCCGTGTATAAGTGATCTTGAAGCTAGTGCAGCATCTTGGAGTGCTTTGGAAGGGTCTTTTAGTTTTTTTTTTTTTTTATTTCATTGCGTTTCTTTTTTACCCTCTTCACTGAACAAATGTATTCTTGATCTGATCCTTTTCGTTTCTGGCGTCCTTTTTCTTCATGGGATGCAGGTGAAATTCTCATGCAGTGTTCTAAGAACCTCGGCACTTCTGTTTTTTTTTTTTCTTGTCCTATTCCCCCGGCCGAAGAGCCGGGAAGAACGACAGGTACGGTGGGCATTTGATGCGAGTAGTTTACTGTTTCTGGCTTAGGGTCGGAGAGGATCAACGGTCTGTAAAGGTAAACTCGAGAGCTTGAGTGGATCAACTGCAGCCTTTCCTCTTCCTCGTGCTTTTCTTTCTAGAAGCATTTCCGAAATGTAACCTTGAGAAGCATCCCCAACTACTCTTCTTAGATTCACAGCCATTGTTTAATTTTGGTGGCCGTTTTTCTCGTTCACTCCTTGTGGCAGACTCGGGGGGGATGGTAATGATCGAAGGTACGAAGTACATCGGTACCTCTTACCAACCTGGATACACTCCTCGAGGCAAAGACACGATACTGCCCGTCACGAAAGTGGAAGATCTACAACGGCCACGATCCAGTAGACGCTACCAGAGCTCTCGGGCTCTAAAGCTCGTGTGGCCGTGCACAAGGCTAAGATACTGAAGTGGGTTTAGAGTAGCACATTTCTCTCTGGAAGGATGAATCTGGAGAGCCCGCATCCAGGTCTGCCATCGGGAAAAGTGCTTTGGCAGCTTGTCAAGTCTCCATCGATGGCTTCTAATCCGCCGCGGCCACTAGGCCGTTCGAGAGTAAAATAGTCGTTTGTCTCGGATCACGGGAGCAAAATTGAAATACATAATCCAGGTGCCTTAGGTTGGGGATTCCAGCTCTGTGGATGTTCGGTCAGGAAGGCGAAGGACGACGATCTTAATTGTTAAATATATCAAAGGAATCCGCCTCTGCATCCTTCTTTGGTAAAATTACAAATCTGTGTTCTTTCCTTTGTGACGTAGTTCGAGATATCCCTCGCGCTTTCGCGTTTCGACGTCCCCGACAGGCGCCGCGCCTTCCTTCGGTTCCCGTCCGCACCCTGGGACCGATCGGAGCGGAGGCCGGAAATTACCGAGAGATTCGGTGAATTCAACCTTATCTCCGTCGGCAATTTCTCCTCGTCACCAGTCCACGCAAACCACCATGAACTCAATTCTCATCGAAATCCACAAAATTCGCTCTTATTCATACAGCTCTGTTTCTCGATATTCTAGCTACTTCTTCTGTTTTGGTTCATCTCCGCTGTCGGAATCATTTCCGGTATTCATATACGCAGGCGGAGATCTTCAATTCCCTTTCCCACCTCACCCCAAAACACCGTCGCACCCACCCTTGCTTCGCCTCAATATCCCCGTGCTTGGCACGGAGCGATATACTAAAAAGAAACGACAAGTCCACACGGAGAAGACTCCGTCAGGTATCCTAAAAACACCGGCGTAATGTCCGATGCCCTCCCGCAAGTCACCATCCTCCCCCCATCCACCAAAAAGCGCCGCCGGCCCGCGCTATCATGCGAACAATGCCGCCGGCGCAAGGTTCGCTGCGACCGCCTGTCCCCCTGCACGACATGTGTGCAAGCCGGCAATCGGGAGTGCTCCTATGCGAGCCTACCCCACCGGCCCGTAGCCGCCGGCCTAGCTCCGCAGGGTCCGCCCCAGCTTCCCGATGCAGGAGTGGTGATGGCGGAGACTAGTCCCTCCAGTGCCGCGAGCTCGCATTTACCTACTTCCGGGTCGGGGCGGAGTGTGGGTGATGAGTGGAGGAACGGCAATGTATTCCCTCCGAATAGTATCTGGGTGGGTGATGGACGGAATGGTGAGGATAGTGCTAGCTTGGATGCAAGTGTGCTTGCGGATCGCATCCGACATCTAGAGTGGCAGGTTGAGTCGTTTAAGCGACAGTCGAGTCCTTCGGTTTGTCGGTCACTGAAAGAAGGCCTGCCTAAGAAGGTAAAGCTTGAGAAGACGAGGTTCTTGGGACCGAGTCATTGGATTCACGGATGCTGTCTGGTATGCTGTTCCCCCTTCCCTAATAGATTCAATTTCTCTTCGTTCCTTTTTCTTTTTTTTTTTTTTTTTTTTAACTAACAAGTCGTCTACAGCTCCAATATATTCTGGGCCTAGCAATGCGCTCCGAGAGTGCCAGGTCCCAATTCCGCATCACCCTCGCCGAATGCAAGAATCTCGCCCGCGTCATCAAGCGGCGCCGCACCCCAATCTTAGTATCCAACGCTCTAGCCACGCAATTCGTCTCGCGCGCCATCGCAGACAACCTAATAGACATTTACCTCTCAACTATAGATCGTGTCTACCGCATCATCCACGTGCCCACCTTCCGGACAGATTACGAGCGGTACTGGGCCGATCCGCAGAGCGTCCATCCATCGTTTAAGATGCAGATGCAGCTCTGCGCTGCTATTGGAGCCAGCATGGTCGACGACAAGTTCGACATGCGTGAGGCGGCGCTGAGGTGGACATTTGAGGCTAGGCTCTGGTTGATCCTGCCGCCCCATAAAGCGTCCATAAGCGTCGCCGGAGTGCAAGTAATGCTCTTGCTGCAGATCGCGAGACAGGCCGTGGGTGTGGGAGGAGGCGTGACGTGGCCGGACGCTGGGAGTCTGCTCCGGTCTGCCATGTACGCCGGGTTACATCGGGACCCGAGACATTTGCCTCGTATGACTGTTTTGCGAGCCGAGATCCGCAGGAGGTTGTGGGCTGCGATTCTCGAGATGCAAATCCAGACGAGCATCGACTCGGGCGGACCGCCGCTCATCTCCCTTGACGACTACGATACGGAACCCCCATCGAACCTCGACGACGATCAACTAACAGACGATCTCGAGTCATCAGAACATCGTCCCATTCCTTCCTCTAACACCCACACACAAACATCTCTGCAGCTCCTCCTCCTCCAACACTTCCCCATCCGCCTCGCCGTAGCCAAATTCGTAAACGACCTCGGCTCCAAATCAACCTACGAAGAAACCCTCCGCCTCAACGGCGAGCTAACCTCATCTTGCCACGCCATCTCCCGCCGTCTCAATAAGCTCATCTCGTCATCATCATCCTCCTCCCACAGCAGCACCACAGCCCCAATCACACTCTTCCACAAACACTACGTCGAATTAATGACCTACCGCTTCATCATCGCCCTCCACAACCCCCTCCTCACCGTCGCATTCGATAACCCAGCCTACTACTTCTCGCGCAAAATGCTCGTCGACACCGTCAAACGGATCTCCCCACTCGCGGGGGCCCCAAACTCCTCGTCGGCTTTACCCGGCGAGGTGGACTTCTTCAACCACATCGTCTGCTCGTCGGGGTTCACGCGGTCAACTCTTAAGCAGGCCATCATGTTACTGGGTCACGAGCTCGTGACGGTTCAAAAGGAGGAGATTCGCGATTTCGGAGAGGCGGGGACGCCGGATGCGGCGTCGAAGAGGGTGCTGGAAGACGCCGTGGTGTGGATGGGGAGGAGGATAAGGGCTGGAGAGACGAATGTGAAGGGGTTACTGTTTACCACGGCGTTATTGAATCATATTGAAGGGGTGCAGAAGGGGGTGAGGGTGGAGGAGTTGGAGGGTTGGATTTTGTCGAGGATGAAGCAGGCGGTTGAGAGGGCTTATGAGCTTATGAAGGAGTCGGCTGAGTCGTATGGGATTGAGGTGGACGGAGGTACCGGAGGAGGCGAGGCCAGGGAGGTGGGGAGGAAGGGAGTTGGAGGCGAGGGGAGAGAGAGGGAGGAAGATGAGGTGGTCATGGACTTGGAGGATGGTGACCCGTTTGATGTTTTGGGGTGGAATTTTGATATTGACTGGGATCAGGATGAGTATATGACGAACTTTGTCAGTTGAGGGTTCGGGTGAGGAGGTTGAAGACGAGGATTTGCATGAAGAGATGCTGGAATGATGGGCGAGGCTTGGGCTTGGTCTTTACGGGGATATACATGTATATTAAAAGCTATCTCTTCTCTGTATCATTGATATCGTCTCTGCGCACGTAGAGATGGATGTCTTGTAAGTATATGCGGAACACAGAACACAACATAGTAGCTTGTTTCCTGAGTACCCACCACGACTGCTTACGCTCGCCTCACTAAAATCTGTAGATTCCCATTGAGAATATGGCCATGATATGTCGAGCATGCTCAATCTACATATTCTCCAGAGTTTCCTCCGCGGTCCTTAAGTCCTCTTTGGTTTAACCTTCCCCTCCCCGTCTCACCCCAAACGCCGATACCATCTATCAAGGCTTCCGGAGGCTTCCGGATGTCCTGGCCGGGACAACACTGCCAGCATTAAACCGAAGGGTTTGTATGTATCACCATCAGGAGGGAAGGGTTACAATCGGCAGATCCGGGCCTCGAAAATTCCCACACAAATTGTCGTCATCTGGGTTTATTGGCGAAGAAAGATCGAGAATTTCCATGTTGTGTAACTGCATGAACATCGATCGATTCTTTGTAGAAATTATGAGGTGGACTACGGAATAATATATCAATATCTCGACCTTCCGCGAATCACCCAACACTGTTCCCAATCTCATCCCCTACTCTCACTCGCCATATCCAGGGTTGAATAAATAATGTTTTCTCTGCCTTTCGATCCCTACCGTTCATACCACTCATCTAATTATAGAAACAACGAAAAAGATCCCAGAATAAAAAAAACTTAGAAAGAGGCAAAAGAAATGAACACACTCAAACAGTCGGCCTCCAAGTCTGTCCCGCTACCCTATAAGTAGACATGCCCCCGTCACCCGCGTCCGTTTCTGGCAATCTCAAAATGCGTTACTCAATCTATTCATCACGACATTATTTGCTCCGGGCCGTCATTGAATCCCATCAATGAAAAGGAAAAATTCCCTAACCGTGGCAATCCGGACCACTTTATCCGGCCCAATGGTGACGTGACGACCAGAGTCCCCCCGCCCCTATCCAGAGATATTTCGCCGTGCTTTTACGAAAGTATGGAAACGATATATTAGATCCGTAGTCTCTTTCCACTCACGTGTCTACAGTCTCATATTATGTTCCTTGGTGTCTCTCCCCCTTTCCCAGCCTCTGTTCCCTCGGATACCAAACGGCCAGGATGGACGAACATGTTAGAAGATGGTTGGGGTAGTTAGGGAGAGGGACCTGAGAGAAATGAGGTGGAAAGGAATGTTATCCACGCTGGATCTTCGGTTCTGTGCTTGTATCTGCCGGACTCTGTCCTTTGCTTGCTAGGACTTGGCCAAAATGAGTTTCCGTCTCCTGTGCTATATAAATCACACTCGTGAGTGGAAACGTTGCATTGTGGCTAGAACTGGGCTAGTAGTGGTTCTTATCCTATTCCCATATCCAAGCCACTGATGGATCCATAAAATCATATCATAAGCTAAGGCTCTATAGTTCGCTGTTCAATAAGCAGACGTAACGAAGAGCAATGGTGTGCTGTCTTCCCAGAATATGGCCCCCGTGCAATAGACCCGGAAGCCACAGCCTCTACAAAGTATAGTGAGACTAAAAAAGTTTCAATCACTCAACCCTACTTTACCTTTCCCTTTAACAACTTTAAAGTCACTCTCCAACTTCAAATAACTATATCTTAACTATTTTTACATATAAAAATATTATAAAATATTATAGAAATATATAGAAAGTATTAAAATATAATTTTAAAAAGATCTACTAAATTAGTACTTTATATATTACCCTTTTACTTTAATTATAGCCTCTAGCTATTTTTTCATCCTACCTACTAGCTTCTATAACATCTTAACTTTAATATCTTCCTACACCTCCACTATAGTTATTCTTAGTACCTGGAGACTTTCATAGTTCTTTAGCATATCTACTAAGTCTAGCCAAAGCTTGTAAATATATTCTTTAAATATCTTTTATAAGTTTTTAATAGGGTTAAGATTAAGTAAATATAGTAACTAATTAATTAATTCTACTTTATTCTCTTTAGTTTATAAAACTAACTAATCTTAGATTATTTAAGCTATATATATAGAAGCATTATCTTAAATAAAAATACTATTAGACTTATATATTATTAAAAGTATTTCTTTAAAGAAGTTATAGATAATTTACTTAATAACCCTTTTATATAGAAAATTAAAGTCTCCTTAATATTTTATTAATATAATATAATTATAAAATAAAAATATAGCTTAGAATATCTATAAATACCTTATTAGCTTATTTTTTAATTAGATTATTAATTTTTCTAGTTATTTTCCCTATTTTAAATTAATTAATATTAGTTTTTAAATTAAAATATAACTAATATATTTATAGAAAACCTATTTTTAATATTATCTTTAATTATATATAATTATAATCTTATTATTAAAGATAACTCTCTTCTACTATAATATTCCTTTACTTATATACTTCCTTATAAAAGCTAGCCTCTTTTTAATATATTTTTCTATTAATTTTAATTATTAAATTACTATTTTATATATAATACTATATTATTAGAAATATAATATTAGAGTAGTATTTATATAGGTAAGATTAGCCTATTTTTTTAGATTCTAGATAGAAATAAAAGGGTCTCTCTTAATAATTAAGAGAATATATTTAATTTTATTAGTACTGATATAATATAGCTACCTAGATTATAATTCTGATTTCGCTAAAGTTTGATATCCATATCTAATTACAATACTATTAACTAAGCCTAGTAGAATATAATATTTAGCTATAATAACTAAGTGAGAAATACTTATTCTATAGTTATATGCAATAAGAGTCCTCTTATAAGGCAAATGATATGTTTTTCTTCTTTCTAGAGCTATTTCTGGCTGTAATGTGATTTTTTGAAGTTGGGGATGGGTAAAGTGGGTGACGCGTTCGCATCACGTAATTAAAAAAGTGATTGAAACTTTTTTAGTCTCACTGTAGTCTAAGTTGAGGGAGGAGAAGGAAGCCCCATGAACTGGACCGGGTATAGAAGGGCTGGGATTCATGTGAGTATGGGCTTAGTTCAGGACCGGTGGAGGGAACGAAGTGGAGGAAAGGAAGACGTAGAGCCGGCATTATTCTTCCCTGGTTCCCTTTCATCTCTTCCAATTTACAGTCTTCACCACCCATCGCAACTCATCTTCTTTTCCGCTGGGATTCGTCCCCTTCAGGTGTGTTTCTTTTTTATTTTATTTCTGTTTTTATGCCAACTCATATGCCAATCTTCCATACGACTTCGGAGTCCGAATCTCACTACGGCGGTAGCGTTCATTTCATGCCATCTTCCATATTTTTCTGATGAACATCGAGCCAATTTTCTTTTCCTCTCATTCCTCGACTCTCGCTTCTTTCTCTGCCTTTGGACTAGACAAGTATAGAAAGACGGGCTGCACCCAAAAATAAAACCGCCGGTCCACATCCACATTCACCTGCATATTGATACTCGCTCGTTCGGATCGGCGAACCATGGAATGACAGAAACAAGCGAATTGCCAACGAGTCACCTGCATCCGATCCCCAAAAAGAAAGCAAGATTGTACGCCGCACACAGCATCTCACGGTCGTTCCGTTTACCTTTCGCCGCTTCTTCGTCTTGCAGCAGGACACACACCCTTTGCTTGCTCACCTACCTCACCCACCCACACACCTACTCGAACAGTTACAGGACGAGGTACCCCTCTTCGACAAATCGTCGGTACGGAGTTGAAGACTGTCCTGCAGTAACGAGACGAAGAAAAAAGAAGGAAGGAAAAAGAAAAGTTTAAATGACGTTGGGAGATACATCATGGGGGCTGCACCATAGCGATCCGACCTGAACCTGAACCAGCGATTTCTCGAGTTTGGAAACGAGTCGAACACAATCAACGGAGCGTACCATCCTCCCCGCAAGACCCCGAGTCCGACCGAGAATAGAAGATCCTGGAACCTGGGGAATTCTTGCCCCCGGGACTTTGGGTACGCCTCTCTGGACGTTGCACTTGCTCATTTATATCGGAGTCCTGGTCCATCGGAAGCGGAAGGGAGGGGTGGAATGGAACTCCAACTTCGTCATCTCCTATACGCACCCACTCATAACCATCGCATACACACCTGCTCCGCGACCGCGACCCAAGTTGAATTCACATCCTCGCCCGCAGGAACCCAGCTCCTGGAAGCCTTCCATCCATCTTCCCTGTTCTCCGGAGTGATCCACCCGAAGTAGTAATATGCAAAGCTAAAGGGACGACATGCAATATCTCAAAGACTGAATGCGCACCTTGCGATATTAGTTGCGACCCAAGCCAAACGACATTAGCTCTCGGCATCTCCAACAGAGGCCTCAAAACGCCGCTTTCTTGGTCCTCTACACTTTCAACTGCCTCTTGTCTACAGGCGGAAGCGACCAAGGGATATCTCGTCAGTTTTCTGTGTTACACCAGGCTTCGTCTCCCTCTACGGCCCAACCTCTCTCCTCGTCACTCGAAATTGCGCCAAGGTGTTTGTGACAAGGCGTTTCCAGCGGTGGATCTAGGAACTCGCGGCCCGGTGACAGGAGATCTTGCTCGACATACTTAATAAAAGAGTCCTCTTTCCAAACTTCGACATACATCTTTTCGAGCCACATATACCGACACACGCACCGCGAATACTTAAAACCGATAGCGACAACACATCACCGGCTCTCGTCGCTGCACTTACACCACTTCGACCTCTTCCCGTCCTTGTCTTCTCGTCTGACCCTCTCTCTTCCTCTCCTCACATTCACATACAAGCCACAATGTCTCGGTTACGAATACCACTTTTCGCCTTCCTCTTAGCCACAGTTGCCGACTCCGCGCCTCTCACGGAACCTCCGCCCTCACCTTCACCGTCCACCCGAAGCCCAACACCAATCGTCGCTGCAGCCCACAGCCCCGC